TACTTCTCTTAGTTCCATTTTTCTGCTTTGGAGGTGAACAAATAATATAACTCTCAAAGATTTTGAGACTTCTCCATAAACACTGGAATAGTACAGCAGCTGGGTCAATAGCTGCTCTAGCTACAAAACATTCATTGTCGAATACTGAATACTTTTGAAATCTCACTTTCAAAAGTCACTTTCAATTACCACTGAAGGTTTATTTCTACTTTCTCCAATCTGGTTGTATCCAAAGCTTCAGACAAAACATGAAGTTGCTATTTTTATGTTTCCACTCTGGCTCCTTGAGGTTTGTGCATGCTGGCTGCCTCTCCCTCCACAGCATCCCTGTTGTCCTCCAGAACAGCTCCATCAAGGGTTAAAGCACCTGGGATGAAATGCATCAAAGATGCTTTTGTGGACTAAAAGAGCTCTGAAAGAGAAGAAGAGAGGAAGAATAAAAAGCATGGCTTGAAAGCAATGAATGGGCCACAAGGGGATGAAATGGCCTTGTGTCCATCAGGAGCTCATTTCATATTCCGCTCAGTCACTGCAGGCAGAAAGCAATCTCAGGTAGCAGACCTTATGTTAATAACACGTGGGTTGCCTCCTTTCAGAAAACAAAAGCGGATGGAGGGCATTATACCGGCCCGCTGCTTTCCTCCTCCTCTGGCACATTGGAGGAATTCGTCTGCAGAGAATATTGTTGTATTGTTCTAGCTGTCTGTGAAGGCTTGATTAGAGGAGCTTTTACACCGTTTCTAAAGGTCTGGCTTTGATTATTCCTGTTGGCTTAGCATATTGCCCATAATGACAAGGAGCGAAACCTTGTTCATTACCTGAATCCGGGGTCACTGTGGGAGAAATTGGCTAGATTTGTGGCAGCTTCAAAGCCACAGGCGCGGTTCATTAGGACGCCATGCTTTGCAGTTGTTTGAGCCGTCTTCTGTTCTTTTACCGGAGTACTTTTTCACAGATGCCGTGTGACTGTGGTTACTCTTGATGATCAAAGGATGTTAAGGAAGTCTCATGAAGTTTTCTTCTGAAGTTATATTGTGGGGCATTTTTGCCTTCAGTAGTCAAGACAGCTAAGGAAAGACATGAATTTAGGGTTCTGAAGTGGAATTAGCAAGAGACATGAATGCTTGTTTTCAATATGATTCACTGAAATCTGTCAAGTTGGTAATGAACAACCGAAGCAACAATGCCTGACATGATAAAAAAAAAACACAGAGGTCAAGCCCTGATGAAGTATGGTAGTGTGGTATGGTATAAAATGAGAGCTTTTCTATACTGACAGCCTTTAACACCCTATTGCGTGTCACCATGACAACTTCACATGGATTGCCTCAGCATATTCTTTATCGAAGTTGAAGTTATGAGACTTTTAACGGCAATCGATGACAAAAGCTACATATAGATTCTGGTGTACGTGTTATAACACACACAGCCTTCACAGCTCACGGCAGAACAAAACAGGTCTTACAACAGAGAATAGGGTATGAGTAATCAACGTCTCTCTTTCTTCACATGAAATTCTAATATTTCCAGTAAAGAAGCACAACCTTTTCCTTTTTAATTTCTCAACAGACTGTGACGCTTTTATTGTCTATTGTTCTGTCGAAGCTTTGTCATTGCTTCCTTCAGCGCCAAAGAAATGCTTTATTTTTAAAATACCCTCAGAGGCAGTTGGAGGTGAAAATTGCCCGCAGGTGTGCATGCATATCAAACGATAATGGGGACAGACGGACACAAAACGCTGTTTGGGTGCTGTGCTCATGAAAGGCCAATCTACTGATTGAGCTGTCACATTCACAGACGCAGTAATAAAACTAAGCAGGGCAATTACTGAAGATGGAGAACAGTTGATGGCAGAGGGGGGCACACAATACATCCTCTCCTAAAAAACCCTGATGGGAAACAGCCAGACAAAGCAACTGTAGCCCTGTGTAATAAGCCCTGCTAATGGTAGAGATGCTCTGACAAGCACAGAAAACGTCCCACCAGATGGAAATAAAGCAATCACCTTATCTGAATGTCTTCCTTTTTATGTCACCGGCTGTCAAAGCATAATGCATTTGAGGAATCAAATCTTGAAACTAAAAAGGTAACTAGAATGGGCCACTTCTGTAAATATGGCAGTGAGAGAGCTGGCTTTGTGTGCTGCAGCTGCTGCCTCTGCTACCTGCAATTTGCTGCTACATTTTTCAAAGTCTTCAAGCACCACCTACAGGTGACCATCGTGGACATCGCATTGAATAGTGCGTAGTTTGATGAGCCGTGCACATGCCTCATGACTGAAATTGAACCCAAAGCTGTGAGAAAGCACTGCCACATGAGCTAACTAAGTGTGGCTCTTAAAAGGTTGGAAATGGAATATGATATACACAGTGCATATTTACCTTTAAATAAAAATGGTTTTCTTTTCAAAAACTATGAGTCTTTTATGTCTGAAGTTCTATCAAATCGAATCTGAGGACCAGGTGTCATGATATTTGTTCTAGTATCAAGTTTTCCCCTGGTTTTGATCTTTTGAGTGTATTTTCTTGTGATTTTCCTTGTGTTTCTGTGCCCTATTGTTCTTGTTCCCCTTTAGTCCAGACTTGTTCGTTTTCAGTTTGTGTCTGACCCCAGTTCCCTCATGTTCTCTGTGTTAAATTCATTATCAGTTTTCAGTGTTTCCTGTTTTATTTTGTAGAAGTTTATTCCCTGTCTTTCTAGTCTTGTTGTACTTCCTCAGTTTTCCCTCCTCTGTGATTGTCTGTACCTGTGTCTTAATGTCTCACCTGCCCCTCGTTGCTCGTTTCTCTGTGTATATAAGTCCTTGTCTTCCCCTGTTGCTTGGTTGGTTCATTGTATGTCTGTGTATGTCGATGTCTCCAGAGTCTCCAGTGCCTTCTGTTAATTTTTTGCCGTTTGCTTTTCTTGGATTTTTGAGTTGGACATTTAAATTAAGTTTTTGTTGCTTTTCTTTTAGTTCTTTTTGAATAAGTCATTTTTGTTGTCCTGCATTTGGGTCCTTCCCTTTTTGTTTAACTTCTAAAACATGGCACTAGGTCCCCTTCTACAGAGGCAGCCATCTTGCAGTGGTATGTATTTGGGGAATGGCAGCAAGAAATGCAGCAGTTGTGAGACAAAATAGAAGAGAGTGATTGTTGTGTGAAGAAGGATTAGTATTGATAAAAGAAACTTGTCAAATGTAGGATCATCCTCATTGTGCATCACATGACCTTCTTGTCCTTAATAGCCACCATCTTTGGAACGTCACTCATGGGAAGGGTGAGCAAGGGAGCAGTCTAGAAACTGATGGGTATGGTGAAATATTCCCATATTTTTACACTGTACCTTAAAGGAGATGTGCTGCAGTTTTTATAAGAGGATAGTTTTATGCTAAAACAAAGCTGTATCTGATTATACAAGAAAAGGCTTGAGTTTGTGATAAATTCTTATATTTCTGCCACAATCTAACAGAGACACATAGGTATAAGCATGGGATTAAAACATCAGTTCACATGACGTTCAAAATATTTGTTTGCACTGAAGGCTTAGTCTCCTGTCTCTTGGAAAAGCAATAAATATGAGGGGGTGATATTTTGGAATGGAAGAAGAGTTATTTCCTTCCCACTATCTTACACCCTCCCTGCCTTCTTCCTTCACCCTCTCTGTCTCTTCTTTCACTTTCCCTACGTACCTAGAGGACAAACACATGCACCCCTCAAATCAGATGGTTTACAGCACAAACAACCTTCTCACTTTGAAATAAAAGTCCAAACCAACACACCACAGGGCTGCCTGTCAGTGCTTCCTAGTTCCAGCTAATTCACTCTCCTGTATATCATAGTGATATAAAAGCATGGAGCAGACTGAGGTGGGCAGAATGCCTCTTTACCCTGTCCCTGGCTAAGATTCAAAGCTGGAATCTGTTTGTTGTGCAGCTCCAGTGCTAAAAACCACTCCAAACCTGTCACCTTTTGATGTTTTTTCTATTTTGGTTTATTGAGCAGAACAGTGCAGGTACTCATCCAATGCTTTTGTTTATGGAGGTCCTCAAATTTGCATATTGATTTATGTTCTGCACAGGTTAGAATTAAAGCAGTAGGCAAATCTGGTCATTAGAACAGGATCTCAATCAGCTGAGCTCATGGGACACTATTTGACAAAGTGACAACTCATAGTTTTGAACAACTTGCACTTCTGCATAATTGTAATGCGCATATAATAGATGGTGACACCTCTGGAACATGAAGCAATCAAGTCAGCTGTAATCTTTGACATTCAGGGCATCAGCGATGGACATGCCGTTCACTTAGGTGGACATTTAGAGTTTTTGCCATAGTGCTGTGTAATTGCAATGTTGCTACATCATTTTAGAGGCAGTGGTACTAATCCCTGCACCATTGTGCTGCCCTATAGTTAGATATCAAGTATTTCAACTATGGTACATTATGATAAATCAAAAGAAAGACCCCAGTATACCACTTAAGTTATGGCATGTACAGAGGGATTCCAACCCTGTTCTCTTAAAGCATTAACTTTACACAAATATAGACATATTATTAAATACTGCAAAGCACTTAATAAAAGAGCAGTACCTAATCAGCTCCGTGTTAATAAGCGCCAGACTCATTGATCTCAGCTTACTCTTTCAGCCTTATGTTTGATAGCAACCTCCACCCTGACCTGTGCCCCTGTTCATTGAGGCATTTATACCACAATAACATAAAGATTTGTTGGTATTATAACCTCCATGTAACCCATAAAAGGGCAAATGCTCTTATCCTTCTCATATAAGCGAAGTCTTTTAGCTTTGAGTTGTTGCCAGCTGTTTCTACAGCACTGATTTATCAATCAATATTCAACAGAGGGAAGATCAACACACAAAGAAGAAGAAATGAGGAGAAGCACTGGCAGGATGTCTGCAAGGTTGACCAGAGGGATTCTGTTGTGTGGAAGTGGAAATAAACTACAGCACTGCCATCTGGTGATCAACAAGAGGAATTACATAGGCTGAGACGGTGAGGCTACAATGTGTGGCTGGAGCACTAATTCAAGCTCAAATTTCAGTAGTAAAACCACATATTTGTTTGATTACATATCCTTAATTAGCAAACAAATATAAAGCAGAACCCCAGGCACAGGGTTACCTTACTATTCAACATGTCTATTGTTAATTTTTTTCTATAATGTTGTATCAAAATCCTGCAATAAATTACATATCGGCGAAAATGCAACTGACAATAAATCTGATTCTGATCCCAATTCAGCAGAGTTCAGTTGGTGTTTTAGGTGAATGGACAAATTCAAAACAAAACCAAAAACTGATCAATAAACAATGAGATGAGCATGACTACATTTATTTATATTTTTACAACAAGTTAAACAAAAGGGGGGCAAGGGAGGTGAGATGACAAAGTTTGTAGGCTTTATGTTAAAAGCAGTAATTTATAAAAACTGTGCAGTGAGTGTACAGTTCTTCTCCTGCTTTCTAACACTTTTGCTTTTGTCTTTAAGGTGTAGGCTCAGAGTCCTGGGCCTCCAGCAAATATGAGCTCCAGGGCAGCCTGGATGTCACCGTCTGTAGCCTGCAGCGCCCTCAGCATCAGCTCCTCATCCTGGATCCCCATGTCCCTAAGCTGCTGCATCTGGGACTGCCAGCGGCCCTGACATACAAAAACATGCACTCAGTGGACAATGCACTGATAAAAATCCACTCAGGATGTCACTTATTGTTTCTTTATTTCATTAAGTCATTTCCTCCTTTAACTTAGTATGTGAAACATGATCTGTGAGCCTGACCTGTAGAGCAGTCATGTTGGAGGCTTGCAGAGCTTGCTGTAGCGCCTGGCTGAAGAGGTCATTGCTTACTGGTGTTCCTGCTGGCATGGGGGCCACACTACTGGAGGGGTCCGCCTGATTCACAGAATAACAGAGAAGACAAACAAACATTTTCATCTGCTGTGATATAGTAAGATGTAATGCTTTACATACAAATACAGTTCTTATACTTGTCATATTTTAAGTAATAGTTAAACAAAATTATGTATACATTCAGATGTTTTCACATCTTACCTGGCTTGAAGTTGTTGGGGTGACTGCGCTGCTGTCAGGAGTGCTAGCGAGAGCCAAAGCGGTTGCTAGCTCACTCTGTGTTATTGGGCGAGGTCCTGTTGCACCGCTGTGGCCTAAAGACACCGGCCGCATTCCTGCTGAGCCTCCTGCTCTGCTGGAGGGACCTGCTGGGCTTCCCTGTTACAGCATATCAAGAGGGACAGAGGTACCATAAGACATCTTCCTTCATGAAATTTTCATTTATAGAATAAAAGGTGAGTAGAAAATTGGCTGACTCACAGCCTGGAAATCCTCCTCATCATCAGACATGCCCTCGAACATGAAGCCTCCTGACAGATGGAAGAAAATATGTTAATCTGTAGTCAAAACACAATCCATACAATGAATAAAAAAATAATCACAGCAATAGAAAGAGGAGAGAAAGAGAACGGACAATTACATTTATAAAAAAAAGTCTTAGTTTGTTCATGCTCAAAATGCATATGCTATTTAAATAGGGTGAACACAACTTACCAGGCATATCACTGTAAGAACTGGCTGAGACATTGCGAGATGAGTTTGCGCTGGACTGAGCCGGCATACTACCAGCCACAGAGTGCAGGACCAGGATGATGGCGTTGACAAGGGCGGGGTGTGAACTGATCAATCTGTGACACAGACAAAAAATATATATATATATGAATAATATAAATTCAGACCACCAACCTCATGTGTGACTTCACTGCACTAAATTAAAATGCCTGAAGACACAGCTAGGAACAAAGAACTGCTACACTCACATGTCCAGCATGCTGGGGTCTGTGAACTGCACAAAGAGATCTTTGTCTTGGAGCACCCCTGAACAGAAACACAGGTTTGAGATGAAAATCTTACTATTTGCATATTTGCATTTCCAATTTAACAGCGTAACAGTGGTAGCTCTAAAGCCTCTGCACAACTTACCTAAGGCGACAGGGTCTGACCTGAGTCCTGGTGTGGCCACAATGATCTGATCCAAAGACTCTTTATTTGTCAGCATTTTATATACCTGAGTAAGAGGGAAAAAGCATTTGAAAATGTCGCACAGGAAACAGCAGCAGAAACTTGATTCTATAGCAAAGTTGATCATTCTGTTTGGATAAAGTTTTCATCATGACAATAAATCTGCAATGACTTTAACACTTGAAGTACACGGCAAATGTGTGTAATGTAGATCTGATATACATTGAGATGAGCTACTTATCAATAACAATAATGATCGGTAATATGAGTGTTAGGGAGGCATACTCTGGAAGCAGACAAGGCAACAAGTCAAACAAAAAAAAACTAGTATATTATGAAAACCCCAATGTATGTTTTGACCACCAGTATAAGGATAATTATCGAGCATATATCTATGGTTGATCCTTTCTTATTTTAACCTCATTTCTATATCACACTCTTTACAGATAACTACCCAAACTGATAAGAGTGTACAAAGATACTGTAATTTTTTTAGGATGGTTCAAATCTTTAAAAAGAGCTTTGTTGTGAAATAATTTTCAATGATTCTATTTACTTTATCTCCATCTCTGTCTCCATTCTCACATTTTTTTAGTGCTGTGCCAAGTATTGTTCTACCTTGACTATGATTGTACCAAAAAAAAAGGCTTTTGGCTGGTGGGTTTATGCAATGAAAAGCTGCCAGAGTATTTGAGTCGAGGCAAATCTTTGACTACCATGTAGTTGTTCAGGATAATGATAATACAATGTGCTCTAATGTATCACAGGTGAGCCAATCAAAACTCATCTCTAATCACAGTTGTTAACGCAATACAGAGAGAACTCACAACAGATACTATTCAGATTTGTGTTCCAAAAAAGTGTGATTCCCCAAAAGCCTACCAGTAGTTAACGGTGAAGACTATTTGTAAGGGTTGAGAAAGCTATTAGACCTAGCTAAACCCTAGATACATACAACGAGAGGGTCATGACCCTGATTGTGTTCTCTACTCACTGAGTCTCTGTATGTTGAGTTGAGAGAGTGAAGTGCAGCATGAAACACCCTGAACTCCCTGGCTGCTGTTGCTCTGTTAACAGGCTCTACAAAGAAATAAACACATATGTTCATATTCAGACTTTCAGTTCCGCCAATAGCCCAATTTCAGCTTAAATACTTCATTAAAGGGATATTCTGGCGTAAAATTAATTAAGGGTCAAACACACCGTAGCACTGAGTTAGACACCCCCTTCATCTCTTGAGGGGGTGTCTAACTCAGTGTTACGGTGTGTTCGACCCTAAATTAATTTTACACCAGAATATCCCTTTAAGATATAACGTACATACCTGAACTGCTCTCTGGTTCTGGCCAAGTCTTTTTGAGGATGTGTAAGGTGGATCCTGGTTGAATCCCACAGGCGTCCAGAGTTAAATCATCCTTTAGTTTCCTCCCACAATGGACCAGCTCTGAAACAGATGAAAACAGGCAGATCCGCTCAGAGATGATGCAGAATATATATCAAGAACAAAGAGCAGGTGGTAGAGTTGAATGATAGAAACGTTTCATTTAAAGGTTATCATATTCTCAACCCTGACCTATTAGATCCGGGTCTGGGATGGAGTCTGGAAGCTGTGCAGCCACAAGCTGCTTTAAAGTAGCGACTCTGTATCCTCCTGGTGGCACATCCCCTGGCATCATTTCTGGGAAGTGGAAGATGGATTTGGGCTGATCCACCAGCTTCAAAGAAAGCTGCCAGTCTGAAGAGGACATCTCCACCTTTTCCACAAACAGAAGACACTCTCATTATGATGGTATGGACACTAATGTAAGCAGGAGAGTTGGATATAAACGAGTATTGGGCTACTGGTGTGATCATGAGGCTTTTGGGGAGGCTGATATGCAATACGGAGTTTCTACAGATGAATTTGAGGACAGAATCATTCATCGGTTTGTTAGGAAGTGAATTCAAAACGTTTATACCATTATATCGATCTTTGCTTTATTTTTCATGGACAGTTCCGTAAGCAAAAACCCCATTAGCTCCATTTGTTTCGCTTTTAAAATGCCTCATTTCTAAATCATACGGGATGTCTGTATCGCTTGGCTGCTCAAAACGAATTTCTTTCTAACGCTAGGCTTATTTTATTCAGAGTGCCAAGACAACTTTGCTATTTATATAAAGAAAAAACCGCACACTCACCATTGTGTTGTTGACACTCGATACACTTCCTGATGCTTGTCACGTGGTACACGTGACGTTTACTTCAATTGACCAAGCAGAGGGGCTTTTACTTCTGTGTGTCCTTTCAGCCTTTTTCCGTCAGGGTACCTTGAATATATGTATTTTTTTCCAGTTAAGTTTATCAAAAGTTAAAAAATGTTATGATAAAAATGTGTTGTATACTGCATAGCACGAAAAAATACCTTAGTTATTGAAAAAAGAATCTATTGAAATTCACACAAAAGTAGACTAGAATGACAAAGGGCAATTTTCATCTGTCTGAGCAAGTCAACAAAAATGTCAAATGTAAAAGCTTCCAAAAGAAAAAAAATGCATATGTTTTGTGAAAAAAAAGTTATTTAGTTTTGTTGTATTAAATTTCCATGGATATTCTGCCCAATGACCAAAACATTTGTTCTAATTTTTTGTCATTTGCTGCAGACAATATGTCACCAATTGATTTTCCTTCTGTTAAAAGTTTCCAAGCTGTGTCACGTCTTGGGCAGACGGGTTTCCAGACAAATGAATGCAAGTCTGCAAGTCCCATCTCAGTTCACATTGTTGAGCCAAGTATGATTTCAATCTTCTTATAAAGCTTGAGGTGTTAGGACACAAATCCGCACAATTGTCGTAAAATAGCGAGTCAAAAAAAATTCTCAGTTGGTAGAAACTGATGACAAGGGGCCAAATCATCTGATTGTATTGATGCCAGTAGGGGAGAGTGGGGTAAGGTGAGCCATTTTTCATATTTCTGATCACTACATCAAGGCAATCATAGTTTTGTCTCTTACTAGTGTATCTGCATATATTTCAAGATGTTGTGCATCCCTGCAAACCAACAGAATGAGTGTAAACATAACAGTCTGGATAATATAGCATGCCACGTCTATGGGGTAAGTTGACCATAGGAGACGCCGCAAAGCCTGACGCTGCCTATTGGAGCTCACGTATCAGCGCGGCCGCCATCTTGGATGGGTCCCCCATGTGCCTCCAGTGCATCAAGGTAGGTCGGAATGCCCAACCATATCAATATTAACTCTCCGAATCTCTGCCCGCTTTTCACACTGTTTGGTTTGTTACAATGGCAGGGATGTAGCCATAATACAGGACAATGTCGCACATTAAAAATAAACCAAATTATTTTTCAATGCTATGTGGGAAATATAATTCTATGTGATCTGGTTTTAATACTGCGTCAGGTTTTTTTAACCATAGAGTGCAAAAATACAGGCATAGTTGCTCGTTCTCCAATGACTCTGTTTGGCTCTTGAGCAAAGCTGAAGTGGGGAGACCCATCCAACATCGCGGCAACGCTGGATTACACTCTAGCACATAACAAGGTATCTATGTATATAATGTCTATGGTATTAGTCCTCTAAGCTAAAATGGTGGACTTTTATGCTAGGTTTTTGACCTCATGTTGTAGCTCATAGATACCACAATTGATGTATAAAACAAATTTAAAATGATTTTTTTTGGTTTGAACACATTTCTTATAAAACTTATGACAGACTAAATTCACTTTGAAGAGTGAAAATGATTTTTTTTAATTTTATTTTTTTTTGTAAATAGATGTCTAACCCCTTCATCCATGTGCTTCTAACCTTCACAGACTCCATGAATTGATGCTCATCTCCTAAATATTTGGTCACATGATCAATTTCTTTTACCATTTCCAAGCAATAGGGAATGGCTCAATTTACCCTTTGGCTCAACTTACCCCGTTCTCCCCTACTATCCCAGTAACACCTATTCATCTCTTCCGGAGTGATGCGTTCAAGGCCGTTTTAACAATTTGCTTTGATTTACGCTGCCAGATATACACAGATACGGGCAGCTTCGGTTCGAATTAACAAATGACCGTGTGTTATATTGTAGGAAACTCCTGTACTGGTACCGTTATGCTCACAAATGGTTAACCTGGGGGTCGGGACTCTCGAGACTATTTTCCCTCTGTATGACATCACTGCTGGACAAAGCGACAAGGAGTGGTTTGTTTCTGTGAGGAGAGAGGAGCGTCCCAAATCAATGGAACACAACCACACTCTGAAAAAACCATCCTTCAGCTTTATCCGACCTTATCAAAGTTAGTTGGAGCTTCGGTTTTCGCAGCTTTGCCAGCGCTTTGTTGTTGTGAGAGGACCGAACTACTCCTGAAAATCTCATCGCCAGAGCTGGTCAGAGAAAAGACTCACCGCAGTTGGATGGTTGGTGCTTTTTAAAGTTTCGTCCTCCTAACATGGTAAGCCCAGAGAAACTCTTGTTTGAAACTTACGGAAAGCTTCTCATATGTAGGCTAATTAGGAAGATAACTTTTCTTTTCAAAGACGAGCAACAGCTGGCGGGGAGCAGAGGAACCCCGTCAACCCACAAGGGCAGGGGAACTGGTTCACATAGTTGGCTGTCCTTTCTGGCAACTGTGGTCATTTTTTTTTTAAAGTTTTAAAGCAACACGGAGGCCTGCTTTAGCTTTACAGTATACTGTTTCTTATACTACGCTAGTGCTATTTATGAATGAAACAGACTGCGCCCCCAGTTGACGAACAGTGAACACTGCAGCAGTGCATTTAATTAAGTAACGGCAACTTCCATAACTCACACTGTAGGAGTGATGCCTTCACGTTTACCGGAACATTTCGTAAATTATCCTGAGTGTTTCAAATGTGTCAGTCTTTTTATGGCTTATAAAGCGTGTTCACAACTATGTAGGTCTATATACACATCAGTAAAATAGCTATGAATTTTTCTTAAAAAAAAGAGCTGTATCATAATGTGGAAAGTTGTCCCCCTTCTCTTTACTTTACTTGGAGGTGGAGGGGTCATTGTACCTTTTATTCTGCCAAGTTATTTAAATTTTTACCAGGTAGAGAAAGTTGCAAGAGGTCACAGGCAAATAAGCCTATGCCAGAGCTATATACACTTCAATAAGGATGTTTCTCAGCCATATGGTTTCCTTATCACATGCAGGCGCAGCTGTGCTCTGCCTGGCAGGTACAGCTTCCTGTGGGATGCAGGAGGGTACAGTATTTTCCAATCTGACAATATGTGTAGGAAATGATTAGTGACAGCAGAGGGATAATGATGTCTAACACGTCCTATCTGGGATGTTGCTGCAGTTTGTGACCATAGGTAGTTTCAAGTATCATTCATCGCCTTCATTATTGCACATACTGTATGTGCTTATATGTCACACTGCTGTAAGATAAAGGTTACAATAAATTGGCTTCTGTTTACAGGAGCCGGAGATTGCAGTGAACACCTCACTGTGTATAGATCATTCGCACTTTTCTGATCATTTATATCGCATAGTCCCTGCCTCACATACTCAGTATTATTGTACACATATAGTTGGATTCTTATTCACGTGTATGTACAGTGCCGGAGCTGAAGAAGTTATGAAGGGCATTGATAAAGTTGGCATATTTCTCTAAGTTTGATGAACTTCTGTCTACTCTGACAAAGTACTTAATGATTTTACTTAACTTCTCTGGGCAGCATTGATCTGCATGAGGTGAATTCAGTAGTCCCTTTGGCTTGCAGAAATTCTTGTCAAGGGATTAATAGGTCCCAGTGGCTTGAGGGGTGGCTAAACGGTACCAATCATATGCCAATAACACATCGACCATCAAAGGTCAGGCACAGCCACTATAGATTTTCAGAGTGGCCTTATCACCCAGGAGAGAAGTGTTCTCATAGATGGTCTTCTTGACAGCTGTGTGAGAAACCCTGTCATGAATCTCTTGGGTGAAAACTGCAATTATTGCTATTAAAAAAGAGAGAAAAATTACGATTTTTGCTTGACAAATTTAGAATCTCGTCTTCCTCTTGAACTCAGTTAGAAACAAACCAAACCTTGTTGAAGAAACAAATACTGGTGATCGCAGCTAAACCCAATCCCTGAAAGACATCCTTCATATTTAGACTGTCATAGTCAGCAATTGTTTCTTATCTCTATAGTGTGCCTCATTTTATGGAGCATCCTTGTTATTTAACTTTAAGAACAGTTTTGAAATGTGACTGAAGCTGTTGAGGGCTTATACATAAGTGACACAATGATGGATTACACAGCTCCATTTAAATCCAAGCCTCTAAAGTTAAACTGTCTTGTACGATTCCTAAGTATAGACTCAGTGTCATGGCTTTTTTGCTTACACTGAATTGTTAAAGCTGACTTGTAAAATTAGAGGAAGAAAACAATATTTCCATGCTGGCATTTACTCAGCTGCTTGAGTCATTCAGTAAAAAAAAAAAAAAAAACCTTTGATGAGTTCCTGGTGTCGGCACACCACAGGCACACTCAGACTGCGGTTTTGGTGTGTTGGCATATTCTAGCTCTCTTACTTACAGAAATCTTGCTTTTGGATGTCAGTGATATTAGTCCGGTCTGAATGTTGAATGTTAAATCAATGTTTTGACTCTGTGTGCAGTGAATAGTTAATAATCTCTGGCTTTCACAGGTAAATATACGGATAGAGTTGTTTGAATGCTTTGATTTGGTCACTGGGAAGATAATTCTGAAAGTCTAGAGTGGACAGTATGTGGTAACTCTGGGGAAACTTTGTGATGAGGTTACACTCCTGCTGAAGTCATAAGTAAGGCTCCATGGAAAAGATTTGGTTTAGCCATTAGGCGGAGCTACGAATGACAGTGATGTTTTCACTCAAACTCGTGCATCACTGTTATGTATTAGCTTCTTACCCAAACTTAAATATGTTTCACATGTCCTAAAAAAACAAGAGCAAAACCAGAATTTTGTTGGTAGACTTTTAGTTGTAGATCTGGCAGACATTTAACCGTTCATGTAAACATGTGGTTTCACTTCAGCCAACCGGTGGGAAGATTTAGCACCCAGCCACACGTTGAAATTAAGTCTATCATGGGCTGTAGCTACTGTGAATGCTGGTCAAGTGGAAGACTGATACAATTAAATGCCTTTACCCCCTGATTTAAGTACAGTAGTGACAAAGGTGAATTACAAAAGACACACACATTGTATTAAAGGGAAGCTGTGCGTTTACGATGTGCTCATGATATCTAAATCCAGAAAACAAACAGACAAAACAAGCCTTAGATATACAACACATATACACAATTGCAGACATCAGGAAAATAAAAGTGCTGAAGTGTCTGTTATACCGGTAAACCCCTTCAAGTCTGTTGTTCAGATTTCAGTGGATTTTAATTTGTGCATGTTGTGGAGTGTGTTACAAACTGAAAATATTAGGGATTAGGGCTGGGCGATACACTGAAAAATTTACTGATGCCAACATTTACGACAATAGCCAACATCATTTTGCTCATGTCGGTATATTCTGTGTCAAAAAAATAAAAAAATCAAAGTTGGTTAGGATGTGTGTAGGTAGGCTATGGTCTCATGTCCCTTTTAAGATACATGACTCAACTCCATCCAGTCCGTAACAAAGAGGGAAAGACAGGTGAGGAGATGGAGGACGGTTCAAAAGTTGAAGCAGCTGGAGAAGCAGCTGAAGTGGACAAAGTTAATGTGCAAGAAAAGTGTGTTGATTTCATTGTCAGCCAAAACAAGTCTGAAAGTATTGGCCTCTGGTTTTGTCTGCAGAAATCCAATATCCTCCATCCCTTAAAACAATATACTGTTTGTCTCAATAGTAAATGTGGCTTGACTGTCCTATCTTTCCTCAGCTGAGACTAACCAGCACAAGGATTAACAGTTGATTTGTTGCTGACATATTTTCCTGGCTTATTGTTTATACCATTTTAGCTTTTAGGGTTTTGTGAACACTCATTGATTTTACTTCACACTTCTCAATGAGGACACCCTTAAGAAAGTTACTTATTGCATCAAAGCATTCCTATCAACACCAAATGTGTGTCTGTGTGATTGGTGACCCTTTAGAGGATAAAGGAGCAGGACTTAGAGGACTTATTTATTATTATTATAACCTTTATTTAACCAGGTTAGTCCCATTGACTTTTGGCAGAAAGTGTAACTTTTAGCCAACTATGCAGACTCTGTTTGAAGTTGAATATCTTTGGAAAGGCATCATACATCACCTCCAAATTTGAGAAATTGCTCCAAAAACTGGTCCTTTTTCACTACTTTCTTTGAGTTCACATACTTTTTTTAAGACATCAGACTTATTTGCTACAAAAGTAATGTTTTATTGCAGCCTTATCTATTTTCCTCCTAAAATTACTTGCCAACAGAATATTTTCAACATTCAATTCAAAACTGAATAATCTGTCATGACCATGTTCATCCGACTTTCAAGGCAGAAACGTGTGTGCATCCATAGTGTGGAAAGGAAAGAGGAGTAGGAATATGAGAGGACAGGAGGGTGTGAGTAGAAGGAGCAGCGAGGAGGCAGATCCCTGTGACTCTTCATCTCTGTGCTAAATAATAGTGTCATTTAAAAACAGTGAGAAACCAAGTTAGTCTCAGATTTAACCCAGTTAAAGACTGCTGGTAGATTTTTTGCTCAAGGGTGTGTCTTAAAACTCCATGTTGTTGCACATTCAATTGTCTTGAGTCATTTTGCACCAGACACAACAGCAGACAGATACTTGCACAAAAGTAAAAGGAAAGCCAGCATGACACTCCACAGTATTGTCAGACAAAACAGCTCCACAAAGTAACACTTATAAACCCACTGTTGATGACGAATGTTTCAAATGCAGAGCCAGTCTGTTCCTGTCTCTTGCTTTTTCCTTCCTTTATAAATTTTTATCCACGGTTTTTGCACGTAACGGACACTGCTTAGTCATGTAAGCTCTGCTTCACATTCACTTACCTTGAAATGTTCCTAAGCACCATGAGTCAATGTCAGACATGTACGCTAATCCACAGAATATGTATGTCCCCTTCAGTTAGATTCAGGATTTTTTTTATTTGCAGGTTTATTTCTGCAGAATAATATCCAAAGTGTACCACTGTGTCAGGTAATGGTTTCTTTTAGCTCTTTGAGAAGCTTTTGGCTCACCTGATACAGGACAGTACACTTTCATCAGCTAAAAACTTGAGGAGTTTTAGTTTTATAATGTCTTTAAAAGCACAGTGTGGCATACATTGAGATTACCATCACAGGTGTTGTATTTTTCCAATGTGGCATGCAGCAGGCAAACCAGACCCCTCATGTAACAGTAAATTACTTCAAGGTAACTCTTGAACAAAGGCATCAGAAGAGTGAGAAAAAGCTCACCCCCAGCTTGATGTAAAATACGAATACAAATAGTTTCTCTCTCAACAAATACAGATGGAGAAAGTGACCTCTATCTGAGATATACACCTCATAAATTTTTCATGCTGAGTCGAGTGCGAGTAGACGGGGAGGGGATAGTTTTGTCCGTCTTTACTCACTCTTAAAGTAGTGTTTTCCCTCTGGATAGCAGAGAGAATGACTTGGCTGTTTCCTGTCAACTTTGGAAGTCCCCATTTGTCATCACAGCTGCACTCTGTCCGAAAGAGAAAAGCCTTCAGCAGGCCAGACACAAAGACCTAAATAGTCCCCGTCACATGCCCTTTCAGATGAGTTTATGTATCACATAAAATAATTGTGGACTTCTGAATAGCCTTTACTTATCAAAGTATGTTGGGTTGTTTTGTTGTCACATGAGGGATTTTGTTTTACCTCTGCTGCTCTATAGCTGCTTTTTCTTATCGTGCTGAGAACCACACGGATTATCAGTGCTGAATGTTTAGATAGGCTTGCTTTTTCCACATGTATCTTCCTGTTTTTATGTAGTTGTATAATCAACCACAAGATTGCTTTATGATGTATTGTCTGATATCTGTTGCTGTGCCCTATATACCTAATGTGTTGGTTTCAGTTAGACCTGACCTTGCCCTCTTTCCTGTTATACCAACTATTAACCACACAGATTATCAATTCCACATGTCTTGATAGACTTTTTTTTCACTACATGTATCTTCCTGTTTTTATAAGGTGTTAGTTTTGGTTATACCCGACCTTGCCTTCTTTCCTGTTACGTGCACACACTCACTGAGCCTGCCTCGGTGAGATGTGGTAACTCAGACTTTGAACACACTTTCTGTTGCTGTTTCTCCATTTTATAATAAAACATACAAAGACAGCTGATTGACTTGAGATCCTTTTTTAATTCTTACTATAAAACAAGAAATCTCCAAAACACACCCACCTCAGAGTAGAGACAGGCTAAAACAAAGATGCAAAAGACGCCCTCTTTTTCTTTTACCCTCTTTTATCGTTCGTGTTTGTGTTCCTTCCTTCACCTCCTCCTCACTTGTCTGTTTTCTCCTGCCTGCAGCGCTGTGTCTGAAGAAGTTGACCTGCAGTTTGAATCCAGCCTGGAAGACCATGCTGTCCCTCCTGCTGTCTGCCATGCTGGCTGTCCAAGCTATGGGTGGGTTTTCGTGCTTTGCTGTGCCCTGCCATTAGATCGGAGTCATCGCTGTGGGAAATACCACATTCTGCTTAACAACACACCCTGCAGGGCCTATTAGTCTTCCCCCTTCAAAGGCTTCAGTGGGCAAAACAACAGTTCAAATGAGGCAACTCCCCAAAATAATGTGCCAGTAGTTGGAAAGTTATAAACCCTCCCTCTTTAAACTCTCATCTATCTATAAGACAGAGAACATGTTCTTATTTATACAGACACTCTGCCTCAGGGAGCAAAAAGACATTTTTCACCATAATTCCTTTAAGATGAGTTTTTACGGGGTTACAGCTCTATGATATGGGAGGGTGTCTTTTTATATTTTGCTCTTAATTCTGCTTGTAAAACAGAATAGCTTCCGCCTCTCTCAGACAGGTGGAGGAGTAGAGCCGGGGGCTAGGGTGAGGCCTCAGATAAAAAGTGCCAGAGGTGCAGTTTTTTGTTTTTTTTCCTGCTGTGACTCAGGGAGTGTGGTGTAGAAGTCATCCTCTTATATTTATATCTTCGGGAAGACAAGTTGTGGTTGATGTTGCAACTGAGGATTCATAAGTCACGCACTCAAAAGTTTCACTTCAGTAGAAATGGTGCTCCAAGAAAAACATATGTCATCATAAAAAAGAGACAAATAGCCTGCGCTGGATTGATAACACGGAAAACTGTGAATTAAAAAGGGGGAATTGAGCAGACAGAAAGGGGTCAACACGGCTTACACTTCAAAACACAGCCTTTTCTTCGGTTGGTTTGTTGCTTTCATGTACTTTGAATTAAAATATCTCAGTGGATTGTCTTCTTTAATAATAATGTATAGCCTGGAGAAGAAGGAGGACAGCAGCTCTGAACCCTTAAAAAGGTTTAGTCCATGTGCCGTTAAATTGGCAGAGTTCACAAAGAACTTTTATTGTCCAAAACACCATCATTTAAAAAGAGCTATTTTTTGCCTTTTGCTCACTGGTTGAGCTGACACAACCTCCTATCGGCCATCAGTGGCACATTTCAATCTTGACTCAGTGGACCTAAGTGTCTTCTGTGGTTCATTAGGGACCTATTCTCTCCCAGCACAAATGGGCCCGCAGCCGTCTCATTACTGGCTGCGTGGCATCCACAGCCTGCCTCGCTTCTCTCACCAGGAGGGAAGAGGAGGAGGAGGAGGAGGAGGAGGAGGTGTCGGGGACTGATGGAGCCCTTTAACTCACGGGTAATGGGCTATTGTAGCTCACACAATGATTCAGTTTCTCCCTGCTAACTGGATCTCTAAGTGAATTAGCTGGAGCCTAGTTTGATGCTATTGTCTGCACATGTAACATGAAACAAAACACAGTGTGCCTTGTGGATTTAATTTAGTGTAATGCAAGAAACTCCCACTGTGCTGCCAGCTTCAAAGACGGTTTCAGGTGCTTTTCACAGTCACACAGATGAAAGTTTACCGTTTCTTCTCTTTTAATTCATACATAAACTTCAATGAGATGTAGTTAAAAAGATGTCAGGCTTATAGATGGACTCTTTTGTTCACCACCAAGTAAAGGAGGTGGTAATTATAACGGTGGTAATTATTGAAATTAAAGGTTAGTAGCACTTGAGATTTATTGCGATTTGTGGTTTCCGTTGGCTACATTTGCATTATCCCCACAGACTAACAAACAACTAGATGTAAAGTTGCTCAGATTCAAAATAAGTATTTATATCACTCTTAGATACTCCCTAAAATCATGTATCATTACCACTTAGCAACCCCCTAAAAATGCGTTCACTCCCTGTAAACATTGTGTGATAATAAGTAACATAAACAGTGCGGTGTTAGGCAGAGCTAGCCAGATTTGACTTTTTTAAATTGCACCAGGATTGGAAAGACATCAGTCAATATCCAAGTCTGTTTGTCAGAATTGATCTTAGGAAGCAAACAGGTCGCATTAAAACATCTGTAATCTCTGTTTACAGATTCCAGCTCCAAATGAGTGCAGAGCACAATGGGCTGTCGTGAAATCCCATCCCTAATTGGGCCTAGTCCGATGATGAATTATTTATTGCTATTGAAGCAAATATGCATGTGTAAGAGCAGCTAACAATGTGGTCTTGATTAAAAATTTAAATCTTTTTTTCTTGGTTCATTTTTGTGCTTTTTCTGCCTTTATTAAGTGAGGACAAGACAGTGGATAAAGCAGGAAGTGGGAGTGACGTATAGGAAAGGTGCAGGTGGATTCGAACCTGGGCTAACTATAGCCTCTGTTCATGGAGAGCATGACTTAACAACCAGGCCAAATCAGGCCCAGGGTGCAACAAATCTGTGTGGTGAAAGCCAATCAACAATAAGATTTCTCCACATCATACAGGGATGACCTTAATTCAACAAACTAGCTATCATGAGAACTTTGAACTGCAAGAACACTTTGTTTTGATTTTGGGGTTGATAAAGTCAACAGAGGAGCCTCTGTCTGACTTACTACACATGGAGAGAATCGAAACTTGTGGCTTTGTGGTATGAAAAAAAACAAGAAATCAGAGCATTTATGTGGCATTTCTGTGCAGGCAAATTTGTCTTAGCCATTAAACTGAACAGGATCAGATCTCAAGTTGCTGAATGGACTATATACAATCAGCGTATGGAAAAGGAAGTCTTGGATGGTAGTAGTTTGTGGCTGGCAGAATTATGAATGGGATTACAGCCAGCGGGTTTCATGGCTGTAAGTTTTGTATTTTTCTGAGCAGCTCTGTGTTATTGCATGTCTGCGTTTAGAGGCTCCAGGATCTCTGTGGTCCCTCGCTGGGATAACTGGCAGTCGTCTTTCTTGTATTCAGCCATGTCACTCCAATAACTCCACCAAGTGCCTGTCTCAGCAGACAAAATTACTCTTTGAATGCTTTGCCAACACTCTCCCTATCACAGGAATAGTATTTTTGGAGGAAACCATACAAGGACAGAACATGACAACATTGTCATCCCAAGTAGCAACATTGTCTCTGTAGTTCCCAGCTGAATCTTGACTCAGGCGTCAGATGATGGATTGTTTGTGGTGAAAACCTCTCCCCGATGTTACTCATACAGCGCTGCACAGCTGTTGTGTTGCTGCAGCCGTGAAGAGGCTTGCCCGGTGTTGTATTGTTCCCATTAAATGCACCATTTAAGAAGCATAAGTGAAGAAAGTTTGCTACATCAACAGCGTCTTGCTTTGACCCATGACTCTGCTGGTTGCTTTTAGTATCTCAGGTATAGTTTTATGGCTCTCATTATAGCTCAGAGTTGTTAAAAATGTCAGCAAAACGTATTACATGTCATTGTATACCTACAGTAATGACTGAGCCTTAACTGTAGCTGAGTACAGTAACATCTTTGGCTCGCTGCAGCGCTGCACACAGCAGTGTCAGCCAGTGGCAGAGCTAACAGGAGACTGTCTAGCTAATTGCTTGTTGTTGTCATCCTCTCTGTTCAGTTAGCAAAGCCACTAGGCTGCCAGAGCTCTGTCGTGTGCGGCTCTTAGCTCCCAAACAATGAAAAGAGAATTGTATTCATACAAACACAAAAATGGAAATCTGACCTGGTTTCCCTCTCAGTGATGGGAGCTGTAAGGTAATTCAAATTAATTACCATAATTGGATAGATTGCATCTGTGGTAGTCATCAGCAGGCACGCATTATGGCAAGGCTGCGGAGCGTGAAAACAGCCGGCTCATGTCTGCGTCTCTCTGGTGTACTTTTTAAAGGTCTGCTAACTATGAATGCCCTCTTCCTGTCCTCCTTTTCTCTTCACAGCAATTGATTCTGCAGAGAGGGGACACTTTAGCCTGTGCTGAAATTCAATTTAGGGTTATTACCCCATATCAGTGATGTTCTTGCTAATTTGATTGCGTCCAGTGAAGTATCCTTTTAAAAACAATCGAGGACAGGCTCAACAAAGATTGGTTTCGCCGCAGTGCATACATAATGACCAGTCTCTGTTGGCTCGCCCGTGTCTCACCGTTTCCCAGCTCCTCTTTTCTCACTGCGCGCTCATTGAAACCAAGTGCATTACCCAACAAGCACCTCATGATTATTTCAACAAGTCCTAAAAATGCTGCCTCGTGGGAATCGTTAAAAAATTGATACGGTTAATATGCCGAGATTGCAGTTCTGGAGGGGAAGAGGGGCCTGGAGCCATATGTGAGTCTGCTGTGTGCCTAGTGGGCTGTGATGAATGGGTTGAACGGATGCTGATCTGTGCTTGGAAAGCATCACAGATACGGACTTGCTGAGGAAGCAACCCAGCAGCTGACAGTGGGAAACACCTCTACCTCCAGGGTGTTGCCTCAATGAAGCGGCAGCGATGATGTCAGGCACGGCTGCTCTGTCATCTGGAGTTGCACAGCTGGCAACAGACTGACCTTTGTTTCACCTCGTATCATTCCTGGTGCATGAAATCATGAATCAGCAATGCATATATGAACCTATGAGCCGAAAACTTCATCTCATTGGATAGTAAAGGTAAAACACCTGCGTCACCAGATGTATTAAAAAAAAACCCTGAATGCTTGTCTTTCTATTACGACCACTGTGTATGTACACCTTGATATAGCCCAAACATTTGTGGAAATTAGCTGCAATCAAGTAAGATCTGACCCTATAACCCCCTTACTACCTCAAGAGTATTCTCTCGTCCTCCACCACACTCCTCTTTTCTCCATCCCCAGCCTCCTGCTCATCAAAGGCTCTCTGTCTCTCAGGCTCGTAAGCCACAGGCTTGCCCTTATCTGCCCAGTGTTCCTCAGCCAGCGCTATTATCTGACTGCCGGAGCCCATTAACAGGTTATTGACGGGATATGAGATGGCACACATCTATGAAGGAAGCACAGGCAGGGGGAGCAGAGATAGGGGGCCAAGAAAGCAAAAAAAGAGATTAAAAAAAAGCACAACTGTGAGTCTTATCTTGATTCATGTCACTGCTAAAAATAAACAAGTCAGAATCGTCGTCTTTCCTATCTGCCATCACCGGTATCTCTGCCCGAGTGAGGGTACTCACCGTCCATGAAGAGTTCCCGAAGCAAAAAGGAGAGATTATTCTTCGAGCTTAATGTTAAAAGTGACCCCTTATCGACACATAAAGCTTTAAGTGTCACTTAATCTTATTTATATCCTGCTATTTTTACTGAAGGGTCATCTGAAGAAAAACACAGCTAACGGCTCAGGCAATTTCTCTGGCTAATTAATCAAAAATAAGTCACGCATACGCACATATACCCATTATTCCCTTATTTTTTTTCCAGATTCTCCTTTTTTTTCAAATCATAGTATTATAGACGTGTACATCTGTTCCCGACAGCATGAAATCAAAAGCTGGCTTTCCCCTCAGACTTTTACAGGGATTGGATGTATCATAAGAATGGTCGGTATGAAAGGGCCCACAGATCCTTTAAAGTAAAACCCTTTGATGTTCATGTGGTGCAAAACATCCAGAATGAGAATGGGTTGAGCTGCAATTACATTCACGGACAGAGGGGGGCAGTGTTGTAAAAGCCTATTCCTCTGGCTTTTTTTGGCCCGGCTGAACCCTGCTGTCATTGCAGTCTGTTATTATTGCACCTGTTTACTTTGCTGTGTCAATATTGCCCCCTTCTGTCCCTGGCGTATGAATTTGCTCATGTATGAACCATGCTTACGCAGGGTTTCATACATGTCCTTTATACACGTGTACCTGCTGTGTTTTGAAGTGTCACTGTTATGTTCTCTGAGTGCATACACTTTGAGTTTTTATTTTTTCCTCTTACTGCTTTGTCAACTTGAAGTGAAGTTGTCCAGGTTATTGAGTCAGAAGAGCGTTGATTTGTGATCGAATTGTGATACAGTGTGTTTCAGCATGTGTGCAGGGCTTTAGCTTGTAAACTAGATTTGATGTCTGAGACTTGTGAAAATATTCCTGTCAGATAGCTGTAGAAATTACTCCAGAAATTGAAAAATGAAGCTTGCTCACCTATTGTTTGACCTGTGTGTTTGTGTATTTTGTGTATGAGGGGCCCAGACACCCGCTGTGTGCTGGCCCTATGTACTCCTGTGTGTTTGTGTATGTGGCTGTCGCTGGTCCATGCTGATAGGAACCTCTTGCTCCAGAGCAGCTTTGTAACAGTGTCTCCATTGTAGTGTCTCGTGTCCAATTCCTCAGACAGTGTGCTGCTGTGGAGCTGTCAGGAGTCACACAGGTGTAGAATATCAATGTGTTCTCTGGCCTTTGAGTGTGGGTTTCTGCATTAAACTGTTTTGGGAGGATATGGATAGATGTTAACAAGTAAATATTATTACTGTATGAGCGATGGTGTCTCTGGTATGGCTGATAATTAACATCAAAGCCACTAAAATGTAGAAATGTACCTGTTTTTCACATCACTTAGGAGATCGATTGTGATACATATATTCAGCGTTTAGATCAGCCTCTTCTTCTACAAAGCATTTTTCTCTAAATCTCATTCTCTCCTTTTTTAAGTCAATAAACAACAGCAGTAATGAAATAACTGGCATCTAAAAACTGGATGCGCACTCGTACAGAACCGATAGTTCTGGCATCAGCATGATTACTTTTTTTGAAGTGTAAACTATTTTTGTCCTCGGAGGCATAAGCTGATGGAATTTTGCTATGATCAACAGTTAGACACAACTCACTACCTCTGAAACATGCTGTTAGTCTGACTGGGCTCATGTCTATGGATATAAATTAAGGATGATCAAAAGAATCTGCAGCTCTGCTATTTCACAGCTTTTTTGAGATCAAACTTTTACAGTTAATTGTGAAGCAACTTCATTTTCAGGTGGCCTGTGCTGGTTCAGTATTGCTCGTTTCAAGTTAACTAGACACTACTTAGGCACAATTTTATCCTAATTTTTTAATGAAATAACCAGATTTAAAATATCATCTGTTTTAGTAGTAGGGGTGGGAAAAAAATCGATAGAGCATAGTATCGCAATATTTTGTCTGGTGATATATCCTATCGTCTTATTTACCAAGTATTGATTTTTCAAATTAATTGCTAATGAGGTAAAATCTATGATTGTGGAAAAATAAGCACAACTGTTTGTCCAGTGGGGTTGGCAGAGGTAACATCATATAGCAGGAGAAAGTTAGTACAACAAATATATATAAGGTTTGCAAGATGTGCTACATGAAAATAAAATACAAAACATAAAGGAAAGCCCAATGCTAAATGAAGTTAAATAGTCAAAAAAATTGTATAAATCGCAATAAATTGTTTTGCGATACTCACTGTATTGCAAAATGTTAAAAATCGCAATAATATCGTACCATGGCCCAAGTATCGTGATAATATCGTATCGTGGGGCCACTCATGATTCCCTCCCCTAATTAGCAGAGTCTTTAGCATCATAGAAATTGCCATTTACCGGAGCTACAGCCATGTAAGTGGGCCCACTTATTAGTTGTTTAGGCAACCAGTAATTCTGAAAACGTGTTATTATCACAAGTGTACGTCCTGAGCCAAAACAAGCCTGAGTATACCAAGTTACATTCAGTAAAACTGTCCAACAGAGAGCCCTTATACCTTTTCATTAATTTTCTTTTACTTAATTTGTTGTTTTTGTCCTTTTACATTATTTTAAATCTCACAATGAGGAAATGTGAGACAAATTTGTGATGCTGCAAGTCATTATACTTCTGAGCTATCAGCAATGCGATGCTAGTAAGTCTCTCTCTTACATTATCTCCAGTTCTGTGTATGACTGTGCTTATCTGAAACAACAGAGGCATGCACATACTAAGGTTGGCCATTTGGTGACTCAGTTTTAGGAGCTGCAGGATAAGAAGTTTAAGTAATTTTGTCAGATGCAAGTAAATTAGCGACGCTTTGTGCTCAAGCTGCTATGCAACACATTTGCCTGTGAGCAGAGCAGATTTTTATGTGAGTGACAGAGTAAAAATGAGAGAAGAACAAGTTCGTGGCCTCGAGTCTTTTTTACTCATTGACCAGTGTGGCATTGTCATTACTTTGATTGATCATCTTTTAGACTGAAAATTCAGATTTTTCTTGTCCTTTCTTGCTATCATGTTTAATACCAGGGTATTGTGCTGAAATCTTTTTTTAATAATTCTCTACGTTCTTGTATTTGTCTTTTGTACCTGTTAAATTCTGCTCATCCTTTTTTAAGTTCAAACTAAACCCCTCTACCATGTTTGTGGAGGGTTACCTTTATTTGATATGATGGCTAATGCGAGGTAGGGGAGGGTCGGGGGAAGGGAGCGGGGGTAGACATGCAGCAGAAGGTCATGGCCAGGAGTCAGAGCAGCAGCTGCTGCAACAAACCTCCCTGTTCATACAAAGGGTGTGTGTTTAAATTCTGAGCGTAACCAGCCCCTCATAGTGTTTAACTTTTTAAAGAAATATTAAAACACTGATGCAAAACTACATACACTTTAAGAACATATAAACCACAGTAAATCACAGGCTCAGGAGCATCCACGTCGTAAAAGTCTGAATTCATCAACATGCATATGAAAAATGATTTTATATGAACTGGGGAGACTTTCTCAGTTACCATGAATACCAAGGTGTGATGTGTAATAGATGAAGCTCAGAGCTAGCTACCTGCTGCTCTCAGAGTTTTTGAGCCAATGTAGAGTTGAAAAGAAAGGATTTATGACCAGAGCAGGTATTATGTAAAACATGAACAGGAGATTAAGTCATACTTGGACTCCACTTCATGTATTGTAATACTGAACAGACTAATCCTACATGATGTGTTTTTCTCATATCAGTGTTTTTGACCAAATTTAGTTGTTCACCTTTTTTCATTCTTGAAATCAGTATTTACAAAAATCCTGCTGTAGTGTTTAAAAGAAAACTCAAAGTCTTTCAAACAATAGCAAGGCCCCTTATCAGTGCTTTTCTCAGCTTTTTTAGATTGAATAATTGCTCAAATTTGTCATCAAAATCATGCTGAGTGTAGTCACCAATGAATAACCAGAGAGAGTTGATTAGTTTCATAAATGCCCCTGGTCCCTGCGAGCCATGCTGCAGAAGCTCTACCCAGGGCTTGTTTTCATTTTTTATAAAGCAAAATTAATTATTGTGTCTTCAGTTTGTGCTTTTCTTTATGTGGTGCCTGTAATTATTTAGTGTCAGTTAACATTATGGCATCCTTGTAACCACGGATACCGATTATCTGGAGTGCACCACAGATTATCTATTGAAAACAGATTAATGTGTCTTAAATATTTAGCCAAACATTGATAGAATTTCTTTTATTCATAGTGTACTTATTCAAATCTTACCTATCTACATTACACGGAGGACTTGTGAAAGCTAATAACACCCTTTCAGTTATCTGACATGTATGTGCTCTCTCTCACCTCTCTCTATATCTGTCATTATGATTTGAGGTATCACTGGGTTTTTATTTACCAGCAGCCTCATGCGTAACCTTGAAAGCACCTTTCCCATAAAAGCTATGATCATCCTGTTTACTGTCTGCTTGAATCCCACGCATCCACTGTCTCACACCCAGCGCCCATGCTCTCCTCATGCGCCCTAGGTAGCAACGTATCACTCTCCAAAGAAAAGAGTAGAAGCCAATCCGGCAGCACCCCCATACTTTGTCCACCTTAAAGAGCATGGTGGGAGGAGGTGTTGATAGTTACAAGGTGGTGTTTAGTCTTGAAAGTAGGGTGGAGAGCAGTGTGAAGATCACTTGCAGCTTTCTCTAGCCATTCCTTAGCCTCCCTGCTAAGCAGGGCCCATTGCCAGCCCACTGCTCGCAAAGGCTGTAATGAGTTTATTTCATGTCGGCTGTGAAAGTGCCCGTCTCTGTCTCGCAGGCACTCAAACAGAGCTGAGGCCCATAAACACAAAGTGCAGTGTGTAAATCCCCACAGCCTGACGTCTCCTGGCCTGCCCTCTATGGCTTCTGAGCATCTCTTTATCGAGAGAGAGAGAGGGAGAGAGGGAGAGACAGAGAGAGAGGCAAGATCCCCCACTTACCCTTTGAGAGTACACCACAGCCCGGGCCATGAAGTGCAGCCTAGCCGCTTGTGTTTGCACCTTTAACCTCTCCCGCTTATGTTTGTTGCTTTTGAGGATGCATGTTTTTCATGTTGAGAGCAGACCTGAGGAGAGACGATCAAACAGTCAGCTTCTGTAGCGCAACATGCTGCTTGTTGTAAACCGCAGCAGATCAAAAACAGCCAAGTGTGCAGTGATTCTCTTTGGCTTGTGGTATTTCACCTCTGACGAATAGGACATCAGATGTGTGCTCTCTATGACGTCAGCTGGCCCAGCCTGCCCAGTCTGATCCCCTCTCCTCTATGCGATACTAAATACCCCGCTTGTATTCTTTTTCAAAGCCCAGGTCAGTGTCTCGACACAAGGTCCCTGTGTAGGAGTATGTCCTCCAGGGGCCTTTGGAGCTGGTTGTAGGTCACCGGTTTAAGGAACAGTGAGTGAAAGAGGAGGAGCGAGGCAGAGATGTAGCACGAGAAAGGGGTCTTTCTATCTCTCTCCTCTCTGACAGGGCTTTGGTCAGTGTTGAGGGATTAGTGTGCGAGGCTCCGCCACAGCTTCTCTCTTGGCTTGTTTCCAGATATTATCTTTAAGTGTGAGCTCGGCGCCGGCCTCTCCTCTCTGCTCCCCTCCTTCCCGTCCCCCTTCCTGTATGAACTCAGCGGTGTGAGTCATCCAGGCTGCTCTGGGAGTGATTTAATTGCTCTCTCTCCTCTCCGTCAACATGCATGTTTCAGATATGGCTGTCACTGACCCTCAAACACCACAAAAAAATGAAAAATACAAGAGCTGCTCATTCATTAGCACATCGGTGTGCCCACCTTTAAAGACAACAAAAACAGATAACAAAAAAAACCGCACAAAATTTGCCCTTGCCTTTCCCACTCACAGCAGCACAGTATCACTTCTGCTCCTGCAGTGCTTGGCTATGATAACTCTTCTTTATTGTTTGTGGAGCTGGAGCCCAGCAAAGTGAATGCGTGCACAATATTGGGTGATAGAAAACCCTCGGAGCACCAAAGGAGCTTTTGTAATCATAGTAAAGCAGAAAGACGACTATTTTCAATATAAAGGTCAGAAAATGGCTGTATTGAAGACAAGCTTTTGGCATGGAGGAATGAAACCTTGACACATGTCGACTAATCAGGCAATTTTGTTTTTCAAGTTTTCAGGCTGGCAGATCAATGGGACTTAAATTCCTACTGATTGAATAATTTTGCTTCAAAATAAATTCTCTTATCCTGCAAGGTCCCAACATATTCATGCAGGAAGAGAACAATCTGCATGTTCTGTCCCGGTCGCCTGCACTTGTAAGTCAGAGCAGTAGGTGGCACTGTTCCTACAGAAGAGCAGCTTATTAGCGGGTGTGTGCTGAGGCTACCTTGGCTGAATGTGATTGAAAACAGGCCTGCCTCGACTTTGCAATGCCCATCCATATATGAACCCTCGCAGATGAAAGAGTTGTTTGTTGTTAATAGGGGAAGTAATTATTGCTCCTCTGCTGCCGTCAAATCTCCTTCACAGCAAAGTGATTCAACATTGGCGTTGGCTTTGTGATAGACAGAGCTCAAAAAGGGGGTGAGGAGGCTAAAATGCCACTGTGATTACAACAATTAAAGAGACTGAGCATAAAGCAGAGTGTATTGCTCCAGGGGCCGACCGGCTTTTTTCTCCCCCCCTGTGATGCTGATGAGTGTCTCAGAGTTGTATAAGCGCAGACGAGGATCAATGAAGAATGCTGACTACCATGGATGTACTCTGGACGGCCTGTGATGCCTGCTAATCCACAATGATTATGCAGTGCACTGTTTGCTCTCGGCCTAGTCTAGACAAACAATATGTACACACACAAGCACACACACACATTTATATGCACAGGTGCACAGAAAACATCAGCAGTGTTTGATTAAAAGTGTTTGATAAGAAGCAGAGTCACTTTTCTTTTCCTCAAAAACACACACCCAAGAGTTTTGCCACAGTTGTATCCCATCGTCTTCCAACAGCCTTTTTTTATTTTAAGATTTCACTAACGATTTAACCAAAGCTATACAGATGTTGTTTCTTCCATGGTAGAGTTTTCGCTCACTGAGCTATCGCCAGGAGGCAAAGCCTATAGGAACACAAACAAAGTCCTATTACTTACCTCCAGATCCCTCCTCTTCCCTCCCCATGCCTTCATCCTGCCTCACCCGCTCCGTGCTACCAAGCTGCACAAGCAGAGTGGATGTTTCTGAAGCAGTCGCAGCATATATCTCAAAAATGCTGCATTGATTTTTTTTTTTCAAAGATATTCAAATTCGAGTAGGTGTCAGACTGCCACATTTGAACACAGCACTCGGAATTAATTCTGTGATTCAGTGAATACTGTATGTTTATACTAGACCTGGGCCAAGTAGTATTACTCATACTCTTTATTTGCTATTTTAGACTACTTGGGTTACAAATAGGGGGGTGGTGTCTGGCATGTAAGGGGACACAGAGAAAGCTTTGAAGATGAGATGATGGCAAGATGATGATATGTATTTCCTATATTTCTGTGAGTTTGGCTGCTTACCTGACATCTTCTAATGTAAGGTTAAACAGTATATAATCACACACGAGTAGTTTTTCTCAGAATTTTGTTAAAGTCCCACTTCGATTTTTTTTTTTTTTTTACAACTTGAAGTGTTCTCAGTGGTCTTTAAACTGTGATTATGAAGTTTTGCCAAAAATCTCACTACCTGTGTCATTTTCAAGGGCTTTTCTTCTGCAGAGCCACAGTAGCTCATTAGCAATTCACCTCTGAGTCGTGAATGGAGACAGCGCTGCTCTACACACTCGTCTTCACGTTAGCTTGCAGCCTAACATTGCCGGTGTAGTAGAAGTGGCAGGTAACATGGGAGCTAATCAGCTCTCGGACACTAATGTCTTGAGGGACATGATGACAGTTAATATCATAATTAGCTTTCTTACGAGCATTGAAATCGCAATCGTCCTCTGTATTTGTCCTTTATACCCAGAGTCTGGCCTGCATAGTGGGGCTCCGGGGGCAGATCTTGGATTGGTTACGTATGAAATCTCATTGTTTCTAAACCTGCCGTTTGGGTCAAGAAGCAATTTCGCATTTAGTTCTCTCATGATATGTCCTGTAGCATCAGAAAAATGCCATATTAACGTATGAAAGACAAGAAAAACATGATTTTCATCCAAGTGGGTCTTTAAAGTTACATCACTTACATGCTATTCTGTCTCTTTTCTAGCTATGATGGAAGTGTACGTCCCAGAGCAGCCAGTGGTGGCGCTATATGGCAGGGACGCCATCCTCAACTGCTCCTTCACCCCCACCGGCCCCTTCAACATGTCTGATCTGAGCATCTTCTGGCAGCTGACAGACACCAAACGCACGGTGCACGGGTACTGGAAGGGACATGACCAGCTGGCAGACCAGGCAGAGAGGTTCGCCAACCGTACCAGCCTGTTCCCTGCCCAGCTGGGCCTGGGCAACACTTCACTCCTGCTGAGCAGGGTGGTGGTGGCTGACGAAGGCAGCTATACCTGCTTCGTCAGGGTGCAGGACTACGGCAGTGCTGCTCTGCTGCTGCAGGTGGCTGGTGAGTCAAGCTGTGACATCCTTGATACATGTAGAAATAAACAGATGAACACACACATGGACACTTGTCATGATCAGTGGCAGGCAGCAAACAGATTCATACTTACATGAAGAGAGCTCTGCCAGTGACAGGACTGCAGATTTGGCTATCCACCCTATAAACAGCTCATTTCGTCTGTTTCGTTGCTTTTTCTGTGTGAAATGTGCTGTGAATTTTCTGTTTAATAAACCAGCAAAAAACAATCATCACTTCAGTTATCATTAACAAACAGTATTGTTTTGCATGTTATAAAATATAATCGTTTATCAGACACAAAAAATCCCACCGTACTCTTACAATTTGCCACCAGCCATTGTCACGTTTGTCCATCCTTTTTCTAGAAGTTTTGGACATATCAATCAATGGTAAAATATAGAAAATAGGAAAAGCTGAAAACTGCATGAACGACAAGTTGTTGACATGAATGTGTCTATTTATTTGAATAATTGTCCTCCTGTGATCTTGATAGAGATACTCATGCAATGTAGATTTTTTGTGCTGACATGGTAATAGAGAAGACATAAGAAAGCAAATTTTTTAGATTTGGTTTTATTTTTTATTCTTTGTTAATAACACTCATGTATTACGACGGAGTGTTAGGGCCACTTGAAGAAAAAAGAAAATTAGACTTCGGGATTAAAGCCATTAATTTACGAGAATAAAGTCATTTCTCACGAGAATAAAGTCGTACTAAAATCATTACTTACAAGAATAAAGTAATAAAATCGTTATGATACTTATGATAATGTGGTGCTGATGTGCCAAAAGATTATGTATCTCCTTGTTTGTGAAACCTACACTGAAGTACATATTTACGAAATGCTCCATACCTCTCATTTCAACTACTGTCATTTTAAACAGCAGGTTAGAATGTAAGGATTTTATTCTGAGTGATTACTTTACAACGACTTCATTCTCGTAATGATTTGGTTACAACTTTATTCTCATAAATTAATGACTTTAATCTCGAAGTCTTACTTTTTTTTTCTTTATGTGGCCCTAATACTCTGTCATACATGTATATATCATTTTTTATTTTATTTTATTTTTTTTTACATCTTTTAAACTCCTAAGTTTCTTCATTCTTTAATTTCTCTTTTGTATTTCTCGCTCCTGTAAATTTGGGAATTTCCTTTTGGGGGACATATAAAGGAATATCTTACCTTATATTAAGTCTATTAGAAGCAGACAGAACAAACTTTCCTTACCAATCAAACTTTGCATCCTCATTTGTTAACGCAGGATCATATATTTTTCTTAAATGACATCATGATGTTTTTTCTCTTCTCTGTTCTGCCAAAGAAACGACTGGTGCAATTATTTTTACTCATACGGACACCGAGTCACATGCTCGCACACAGAGATGAAGCTCTATTGTGTTTTACTGCCGGGTAATTACAACAAAACAAAATAAATGTTTGTGTCGTAATTCCTCTTTACACTTTGAATTGATTGCGTCCAAAGTGATTTGACCTCAGCACTTATTTTTGCCCATACATTAATAGTATGTAATAAAATATATTATACAGTTGCCTATGAAGAAGAGGATTTATGATAATTAGTTCTCACAAGACGTAAACAGGTGATAAACCGTTTTCTCAGGGCTGCTGAGCGGTGTTTTTGGTCAATAAGCGCTGATTGTGGTCTCTGTCATGGTCAATATCTGCTGACTTTGATTATTAGCTGTTGCTACGGTCAATCAGCCACCACTAACATCTTCTCTGCTGTGTGACTATATATCCCCTCTTCACAGCTGAGAGCCTTTAATTTATTTATAATGACACTGTTTGCCTTTCTCTCCGTCCTTCTCCATTTCTGTATCTGTTGTGAGATTGTTGCTGTACTCTCCAAGGATGGATGTGCATTAGGCGCTGTTAATGAACAACAGTTTTTTTCTCCTCTCCTGGCTGTGGAGAGGGAAAACAATGTCTCCAACAGTGACAAATTGGTGCCATTTTTCGTATTAGATTTATTGATGCTCTATTTTTAGCCAGAATTTACAGTTAACATTGTAGACTTCCTTCACGCTGTGCTGGGAGAAAATGAAAGGATCCCTCAGAGGAATTCTCTCTGTCAGTCAAATGGACAGCTGGGGAAGTTACTGTGTACCACGCTAAATCCGTCTTTGTGTTCAAAGTCCACTTTTCAGAAAGCAGCCCAGACAAACTTATTTCATCTCGCCCTCAGCTCCACCCTATTGTTTGCTGTGCAATGATTGGTTTTGGGAATACAGCAGCGGCTCTCCCCGTCACCTCTGTACTTGTGTTGTAGCTCAAGGGATTGGAGAAGCTTGATTCCAGCTGAGGCTGCGGCTCACCCCTCACCTCCACCCTTCTGCACTCTTTTTCATGCCACAGGCTGAGTCGTCCCAAATCTCCGAGCCTGCCACTTTTCTCCCAGGCCTGCCCACCTCCTGCCTCCAGCCTGGCTTGCGCCGTATTTCCTTTCTGGGAGTGGCTCACTGCTCCAGCTCTCAGGAGAGAGCTGCGTTTGAGTGTTGAGATGCAGCATCAGGATGTGTCACAGATGCTGTCAGTGTCTGTGGGATCTTAGGCACTGTGTTATGCTAAGCTCCCTAAATATAATTAAGAATTTAATGGGAATCATGTCAAACAGTTCCCAGGGTGACTCTCACTGCAGAGAATCTAGCCAAAGCTGGTACGTGTCTGCTGCTCCCTTATCCTCACCCGTCCTTACTCAACCCATACCTCTTTTTGTCCTCTTTATCCCTCTTTCCTCCCCTTCCTGTGTGTTCTTGTCTTTTTCAGCCCTCTACTCCAAGCCTGTTGTGACTCTAGAGCCTGAATCCAACCTGCGACCTGGTGACGAGGTGGCCCTGACTTGTGTGGCCTATGGTGGCTATCCAGTGGCTGATGTGATTTGGCAGGATGGCGGTGGGCGCAACCTGACAGACAACATCACCAATTCTGTGGTTGCCAATGAGGAAGGGCTGTTCACCATTACCAGTGTGCTGAAAGTTTTGCTGGAGCCCAACAGCACATACAGCTGCCGACTGATCAACCCACTGCTGGGCGAGGAAGGGTACGCCTCGGTCACAATCACAGGTGGGTCACTCTCTCTAGTAACAGTCAACACTGATGTTTCAACTCTGATCCAAACTAAGCATGCCGATAACGACTGTCTTTGCTGTTTTATCATCTTAACAGCTCGGGACACAACAAATTTACAAACATGGGGGACAAGCAGATTTGAGTAATCTTTAAGGGATATTCCAGCTTAAAATAAAGTTAGGGTCAAACACACTGTAACACCCCGTCGAGAGATGAATGTTGCCAGCCGCTTGCTTCTCTAGTTAGACCAACTTTAGTAACAACCGCACGATAGCAATACACAGCGGTCTGAGGAGCCATAAACAAACCTCAACCAAAAAGCCACTCTATAGCCACAAATAATGCTCAGAACAGCACCTAACTTCATCAACAGTACATATAGGGTCCCAGCCACAGCACTAGCCACCAAACATCTTTTTAGCTTTGCCTAATTTTTTTAGCAAAGAGACTAAAGAAAACTCACCCACACTCTTTTAACAGCCGCTTGTTTGTACAGAGACCTCAGGCCAGTCCATTGCAGACTGCTGCGGGGTGACGCAGCTCAAGGAAGAACATTTATGATCATTAATTTATCATTTCCTCAAAGTAATAATCACCATATTAATCATTTTGCACTGCAGACGCGGTAGTTCTTCTGCCTTAGTGTCTCGGTCTTATTATGTTTCCATGAAGACATGATCATAAATGTTCTTCCTTGAACTGCTGCAGTCGGTGATGGACTCGTCCAAGGTCTCCCTGCAAACAAGCAGCTGCTGGAAGAGAGTGGGTGAGTTGTGTTTAGTCTCTTTGCTAAATAAATCAGGCAAAGTTAAAAAGATATTTGGTGGCTAGTGTTATGGCTGGAACCCTGTAAGTACTGTAGATGAAGTTAGCTGCTGTTCTGAGCATTATTTGTGGCTATAGAGTGGTGTTTTGGTTGAGGTGTGGGCATGGCTCCTGAGACCGCTGTGTATTGCTTCCTGTGGTCATTACTAAAGTTGGTATAACTAGAGAAGCAAGCGGTCGGCAACATGCCGCTCTTGACGGGGTGTCTAACTCGGTGTTACGGTGTGTTTGACCCTAACTTAATCTCACGCCAGAATATCCCTTTAACTCTTTTTTGAAGGTTTAACCGAACATACAGAAAATAAACAGCCAACACAAACTCAGACTGATCTTGTTTTCAGTAATGCACCCTAAGTTTTTATTAGACTCGTGTGCTGTCATGAATCGATCTAACAGTCAATTTTCAACTCAACTTTTCGTCTCTTCCTTGTCTCTCCGTTTCCCTCTAAGATGAACAGTTAAGCTCCAATGACATAAATGAGAAACATTAAAATGTTCAATTATGGTTCAATAAGCTTTACACATTATTAAATTAGATTAGTCGGTGATTATTTCCCTGAGGACAGTCAAATAGTTTTCCATCACAGATTTCAAAAAAGGCAATACAGTTATAATAGATCGTGCAAGATGGAGTGATTGGTTTCCAAGAGGGCTGTCTGCAGGAAGTGTTTGCCAGCCATGAAGTACATTGATATGTTTGCCTTTCTCTGATTGTTTGATGTTATCTTGTGCGGCGTGTGTGACGGCACCTACAGCATGTGATGGGTCTAACGATCTCCTAATGCCCCCCCTCCCTCGGCCGTGCTGCTGTACTCTATGTGTTAAGTGCAAGGAGAGTGCCGTGCAAGGTGGGCCAAGGCTGGTCTCTAATGGGAGCAGCACTGTGTGAAATGGCTCATAAATAAGTAGAGGTGGCCTCAGCCTGCTCTCTGGGCTGGAGCTGTTGCTGGAGCTCGGGCTGTCGAGGCGGAGGTCGTGGCAGAGGTCAGGGAGTGCTGCTCCATTGGGCTGGGAAATGACTGTGCTGTCTGGAAACAGGATGGCCGATTGGCAGGGCAGGCTCGCTGGACGACTGAGGGAGGGTGGCCTTTCTAACAGTTTGGTTGGCCTCTTTCAAAAACAGTACAGATAACCAGTCAGAGGGACCACTGGGGGAGTGGAAAAGTATTAAACACATGGTGTGAATGAAATATGGCTGCAAGGTAACCGTGTTAAAGCGGTCTGTGGCTGCTTTTTTCCATCTGACCTTTGCAGGATTGATGCAGTACTTGTGGTTTGGCTGAAAGGGATATGATTGTTTTATTACATTTGATGTCAGTTTATTTGTCTGCTTTATTTTCCCTCCGCAAATGAGATCCTCGATTTGAAAAGGTGTTGTATGAGTCATTCTGAATTGGTAATTGAGATGGTCATGCATTTTTATGTTTGTCAGGGGAAGCGAGTTAATGTGAAACAGAGAAAATAACATTTCCAATTTATTTCTTCTCTTCTCCTCTCAGTTTCTTGGAGTTGAAAACTATAAATTTAATCTAATTGAAGCCAAACTTTTTAACACTACAATCTGTTTCCCTGATGTCATAGTCTTGACAAACAACAGTCTAAGTGTTGCTGAAGCACAGGTGAGGGAAAACTTTTGTCTGATTCTCAAACTGTTAAACACGTTTGTTTGTTTTGTGTCTTCAAAAAAAGAGGAAAAAAAAATCACATCCTTTTGTTTTTAGTTTGTTGTGTGGTATTTTGGCAGTGAGTGCAATAAATATATGCAGCCTCAGGAACGAGGAATCTTAAGATTATAAAATCGTATCTCTAGACAATCCTGTTGAATTAGCAGCAGCTTCAGCAACACACCTCGATGTTACGTGATGGAAATTTGCCCGTCAATGCTCAAGATTCATTTTGAATCACAATTTTTATTAAAGGATTGCACAATGAAATTCATGCTGTGGTCCCTTTATGCTACAGCATAACAAAAACAACTTTTATTTATTGTAGGGTTAGAAGGATGATTTGAGGAGTCGCAGAGCCTGAGGAAAGAAGCTCCTCTGTTGTCTGTTGTTATGCCAGACAGGAGCTGTGTGAACAGGCTGGCAGGTTTTATAAAAGAAATATAGACAAATACGCTGGCATAGTGTCATTTTATGTTCAGGAACACATTTCACTTGTGCAAACAAAAGAAACTATGAGTTCTGACATTGAACTAATACAGCCCAGATCTACCCTCCATACTGTAAGCCTCCTCTAGACAGTTCTGTTTGAAGGCTGCTGAACCCTTATGCTGAGTATTGAGAAGAAATATGTGAAACTCCTGATATGAAAGTAAGGATACCTTCCCTCTTGGTTGGTGACATGAATATTAAATAGATACGCCTTTAAAAATGGAGAAATCCTGCAAAGATACTAATACTGGGAGGATTAAATTCAATATTAAAGTCCCTTTTGAAGCTTTGATTTTCATCTGGACTGTAATGATTGTACTCTTCCCCAAATTTCTGAAAAATAAAGAAAAAGAAATCAGTGTGAACAGGCGGAGTGAAATAAAGTACCCAAGAGCGAGACAGACTGAAGAAAGAGGTCTGGCCAAAGAGCAGTGGAATTATTGAAGTGTGATGAAGCAAAGACTGAAAGAGGAGCGGCAAAACAAACCGGGAAAAACTCTTAATTAAAAAGTGGTGATCATGACTTTAAGCAATCGAGGGCGACATGAATAAGAGTCGTTTGTCTGTTGGATTGCCAGCACAGCTTGACGATGGCCAAAGTTGTTAGTAAACACAGAGAAGATTTACAGTATTTTGTGCTCCGCTATACAAGAGGGCTTGTTTGAAATGAAAATATATTTGCATTTGTTTACCACAGCTGGTGTGTGCTTAACAGCTTCTGTAATTAATTTTGACCCGACAGAACTCCTCTGCTGGAGTAGCAGAGTGTGGAGTGTGCGAGCTCGAGTTGATATAGCTAACACGCTTGCTTGCTGTATACACATACAAATATAGCCCCACCGCAAACCACACAGAGGAAGTGAAGAATCCTATTATAAGAATGGGTGAAATCTGCTTAAAATTCTAAATGGACTTTGAGAGCGATAAAAACAGAATAAGAAATGGAGGAGGAGGAAAGAGGGAGTGGTGGTGGTGGGGGGGTTGAGAGTGAACAAGCATGCTAAAATTTCACACTCTCCCCAATCGCTGATTGAAAAATTGCAACAGTAATACAAATCTCCCCCAGGCAGAACAGTAGTTTGACAAGGTTAATTTTGAGAAAATGAACCCTTTACCCACAGTGAGCAGAACACGATGTGGGCCAGCATGAGCTACACTTTGAGAGTCCGTGTTAAGTCATCCATGTTAATCTTACCTCTTTTCTAGTCACCACCAATTTAGCTACCTCCCCAGAAACATGAAGACTGTCAATAACATATGCACACGGCGAATGCGCACGATTAGCAGGCATCTCAGAGACGGTTAAACCCTGCAGAGTACTGGTCAGTTTTTTAAGCCTGGCTCTGAAATAGTGAGTGTTTTTGTGTTGCTGGGATATTGATAGATTTTGCAGAGTGCAGCAAGGCTTAGTTGGGGAGACCCAGAGGAACAGCTGGTATTAATGAACAGTCGAATGATGGAAAGGAGCAGCTTCAGTCCTCAAATGAACCGTGGCTTGTCTTCTTGCCTGGCCAGCTTGCTTGTGTACCAACCCCCTGCCTCCACTCCTCCACCCCCCTACCCCCTCCACCTGTTCTGATGGCTTACAATGAAGCTTACTTGCGCTGTCTCACACTCCCAGCCTACATGACTGCTTTTTACCAGCTAAGAAAGAGAAATGCCGATGGAATTATGGGGGATCAAGTGTCTACATCCTATCCATTTTTGGACTTATCCTCTTTTAAATGTGCAGCATTATCTTTGTGTGCTGTGTACCGGGTTCTTTGTGAATGCTGCAGTGTGTCATCTGATGGCTGGGTTTCAGGGCCAGTCACTGAACACCCCCTCCAGCACCACCCCCACTCCGTCTGCTAGCTCTCCCGATGAGGATGGCGCCATTTCCCCGGCATCACTCTGCTGGCACAGCATTTACAGTGAACAGTGTGAGGATGGAGATATATAGAGCGGGAAAAGGAAGGAGACAGAGAGATGAGGCCAGGAGATAGAGAGAGAGAGAGAAGGGGGTAGGAAGACAGAGTGAGGATGGGGCGAGAAGCGGGTGACGGAAAGCAAGATGGAGATGAAAACGTTTGCTGAGCTCAGAGTTGTGGCGGTACAGCCTGACAGTGAGGAGATGGCCCCGCTGACGGGGAGGGAGATCACCCCACGTGGCGAAGCAGACTTTTTGCTGAATTTTACTATCTAGCTGGCAACAGATTGGCTCAGTGGTTAGCGCTGTTGCTTCAAAAAATGAGCATCCCAGATTTTCTTCCCAGTCTCAGTCCTGCCTGTGTGGCCTTGGCTTGCTTACGCCTGTTACTGTGGGATTCCTTCTTACTCTATTTCTTCCTTTTTTCTTGATTTCTTATGACACTCAAAAATTCTGTTTTAGGGTGATATTAATATTTTCTTACACATTTTGTGTCAGGGCAGGAGAAATACAGCAATTATTTATACAAACTTTATGTTTCATTTAGCTGAACATCTCTGAAATCAACTTGATATCAGGCTTTTACAGGCTCTCTACGCTTAGATAAGTCAGCCTTGGTTAAATATTTGGAGAAAAGGCCCATTTTTCTGGAGCTACATATGTTTCCAAAGAGAGACAACAGATAAACAACCAACATTTTTGATCGCGTTGTCCCAGATATCGCTTTTGCTGGATAAATCAATCAATCAATCTTTATTTATATCTGTTAATTCACAACAAATGTTATCTCAAGATGTTTAACAAAAACAGCTGGTTTTTTTTGGACCCCACCCCATCGTCATCTGCATGAGTGTAACACTTAGCAAGTTACAGCGGAAGGTAAAAACTCCCTCTTAACAGGCGGAAACCTTGAGCAGAACCAGACTCATGTTAGACACTCATCTGCTGAGACTGCAGTGGAGTTGGGGAGGGGATAGAGCGAGATGGAGAAAGAGAGAGATGGAGAAAGACAAACAACTAAAACAACACCATATACAGATTTATGCTCACAGAGATAATGTGTGTACCACTTACAAGAACAGCATGATAACAATGAAAGACTGATCTTAGTTTGATTCATGGAAAATTTAAGTCAACAGGTCTACAGTGATAACATAGCGGTGATAGCACTCATGTTGATGGAGTTTAGGTAAGTAATGGGGTTTGAAATCAGAATAATAGAGACAGTTCTACAGCTTACATTAGCTTTTTAACAGTGATAAAGAAATAGTGCTAAGAAACTCTAACACTGATTATCACTACACAAGTATCCTGAAAAAGGAAAGCAGGGAGGTACAGTCTGAATTAAAAATGCTGAAAAGACCTTAAACTTTATTTTTATCAGGCTGTAAACATGTTTGATTCAGCTGTTAAGTTATCAGACAGTTTGATGTGAGGATTAAATATACATTTAAGATCTTTGAGAGCCAGCTAAAGCATTAAAATGGAAACCACAATCACAGCTGTGTTTTGCACTTGTTTGTTGTTTGTGAAATCCACAGGGGCAACATGCTTCGAGTCGGTCTCTTGAATATATCTTCCTCTGCTGTAGCACATGTTCTGTGCATCAACAACTCTGTGTCTCCTAGTATGTCAAATTGCTTTTTAACCAACTGCGATGGACTCACACGAAGCCCGCATTGTTGCTTGTATAAATCCTCTATGGGTCTACGACAATTGCCCAGCTCAATCTTCATGAAAGGCTTTTGTGCTGGTACAAGCATGGGATAGGTATGTCCCAGAGTATTTGTCTCCCATGTCTTCTGAACCTCATTTTGAACATTTCCTCAGGTTTCTGTCAGATCTAGTTTCCTTCAGAGCCTTCACTTCCCTCCAGAGAGTCATTCCCAGGCTGACTTACTCGACTCCTGGTGCAGCATTTCTTTTGCATGGCACATTTCTCCAAGGAGATTGCTAGTTACTGTATGATTGTGAAGCATGTGCATGCTAAACCAACCTTCAGTGAGTAAATCAAGGTTAAAAAACATCTTTAATTGCTATATAAACATTGACCTTTAATGTGGAGATGGGAGCTCACAAGGGTGCTAATGGCAGGCGTACTGCGTCAGAGCATTCAGCTATTCATTACTCTTCTTTTTCTTCATTAGATGTGTGCAAGCTTGCTTCTTGCCCCTTTTTTCTTCACCATGTTATTATGTCTTCAGAGCTTGATCCTGACATTGCATCGCCATCTAAATAGCTACCTGCCACGCTTAGTCGAACCTTAAAGAACTCACCCCCCGCCTCTGAGAAATACCTTCGTGACTGTTCTCTCTGAATATTCTACATACAGTCCAAAGGAAGTATACAAGTATATAAAAATATCATTTAGCAGTGTGAAGCATTTTGGTGTCTCAAACTGTAGTAATAGCATTGCTTTGTTATCATTGCCAGTGGGCCAAACAGAAAAATACGGTGATCTGTTTCAAAGATTTCTCTGCAGAATAACTGTTTTGGTAAAACTGCGGTAATTGTTATTAGAAGTGAAGTATTAAAAAAAACATGTCCGCTCCTTCCTCTGGTATGATCTCCTTTCAAAAGCTCTGTCAGTCAACTTTAGGGTAATATGTTGCTCAAAGTCATGTTTTTGCTGTATATAAAAAAAAATCCCTGTGCTGTTTCTTGTTCTCTACTGGAGAAGGACTAATTTAAATGCAATTAACAGAGCCTTTGGAGGAGCAGAAAACAGCAGTATAAATGAATCTCTTGTCAGTGGAGCAGCAAGCAGGCAACTTTCCCAACGGAGCACTGTATTAATTAGTGTCCAGTGCACAAATAGGCCTTCTTTCTCTTGCTGAATACATGCTCTGTCTTATCAGGAAGCTGGCCAGGGAAAACAACCAAATAGACAGATGAAGTAATGCAGGCAATCTTAAATAAATTCAGGTAGGCAGCAGTGGCACCATTGTAAGCACATTAATTCCTCTCAGGATTATTAACTCAAGCCACTTTCTGCAGACTGTGCTCTCAGATGTTTAAATGTCCTCTTCCAGGCCACCAGTATAAGGATTTTTATCCTTGTATTATGGCCCAGGAAATGGTATTTGTCATGCTCCCAGTCTCACTGTAAGGGACTCTAAGGGATTGTTGGTCTGGATTCATGTGAGGGCAGTTTCTGGTCCGTGCACTCCTCTTTTAGAGTGGTACAATCAGAATGATAAAACGACTTCCTCCCTTTTGTGTAGGGATTTATTCCCCCTTTCTGCCATCTTGACTTTTAAGCGTTTAAGGTTTATTGCACTGGTTGGGTGTCAAAATGCTTTTCTCTGCCACAATTAAAAGCCACATTGGTATTGTATTTCTTACGAAGCAATGATGTCTAAGCTTCTGTTCTAGCACCAGCTGTTGCCAAAAGAATCCATCCAATATACAAATTATTGTGATTGCAACGTTTCAGAAACAAACAGAAAACAAGAGACTTTTTTAAGAAAATGTTTATATTTAAGTAATGACAGATCTAAAGACAGCTTACTGACTGCTAAAAGACATTTTTTGTCTTAACTAAAAAAGTAATTTGCTCATAAATACACATTTTAGATGTAGGGAATAGGGAAAGTCGTGTATTGATTACTGTTTTATTCCAGTGAACTTCACACTGACAGCCTTAAAAATCACCTTTATGGCCATTGAGTTCGTCCAAGTCTTGTCAAGATGCTATCTTTAGGATTTAAAGACAGACATTTTTATATCAATACCAGATATCTCTGTCTGAACTGTCTTGTGAAGGTGGTTTCCCTGAAATTACAGCAAAGTGTTCTATCAAATCTGGTTTGTTTTAATTATCCATTTAAGATAGTCTGATCAATTAGTGGACAATGCATCCTTTCGCTCTCCTTGTACAAAAGCTCAATCTGTTGTTACTAGAGGAGTCTTCTTGACTTTCAGATGCTCTACAGAAAGACTACAGGCTGAGAGACGATCTCTTGTACATGTCCCTCTCTGTTTATGTTGTAGCCTGTGGCTCCTGTGCAGTTTGATTTTGACTAATGTATTCTTTAAGAAAATGTTTAATCCATGAATACCACAAACCTTCACTTCTCTACCAATGGGAAACTTACTGGCTGATGGAAAATGGGTTTTAACGGTCATAGACAAGCGTAAGACAATCTTATAGACTGTGGATACCTTTATTTTAGTGACAGGACGGTGGATTGAGAGAATGGGGAGTGGTTCACAGTTAAGGGCCACAGGTCAGAAGTGAACCTAAACCATCAGCTCGATAGCCTCTACCGACACCCTTCAGTGTGTCTTTCTGTTTGGTATTTGTTATGAAGGAAAAGTCTAGTCAAGGTCAATTAAAATATATGGATTTATAAAAGAAGAAGCCTATATAGTCGTTACACAAAACACAAACAGATGTAGGACGGATTCACTTTCAGTGCAAGACACCAGAGAGAGACTAATTTACTGGTCAGCACATAAATTGTGTTTTGACATACTCAGCATCATATTAGCCATCATCTTCTCTCAAGAAAAACACATTTTCTCCCATCTTAAATTACAGCAAACCAATCTGAAACAGTTAATAAGCTAGTGTAAATTCTTTTATGATGTATATCATGCTGTTTAATATTGCTTTTGGCCTCAAAGTAACTCATATTCTGGAGTCCATAGCATAACCCCATGTATTTCTCTTTTTATCCGTTTTTTAATAATCTATCTAAAATATCTTACTATCCAAGGAAACCAGATAGACTTGATTTTAATGCCAGTGGATTTCTGCATGATTTTCTTTCTATTTTAACCCCAATATCTACCTTGTACTTTTTTCTCTCTTCATCATTTCCAACAGGTGGACAGAAATCCAAAATTCCTTAGTGGAAATATTTTACTTATCCAAATATTCTCTCCTCTGAATTTATCAAATAAAATGTACTCTCATGTTCAGCAATTTTTAATAATTTTTTTAGTATTTTAAATTGGTGTATTTTTTCAAAAGCAGATTGGCAACATATGTCAGCTCTCTCATTTTCTATATGGGCGTCAGTCACTGAAAAAGTAATATCAGTGAGCCACTACAAGACATATTCAAAAATGTGTATTACACAGAAGGAGGAAAACCATGTTGCATGAGTACACTTTGCATTACTGGAGATCTGACACACACTGAGTGTTGATTTAGTGTCAGTCACGATCCGGAGCTTCAGGTTCGCCTCTCTCTTCTTCATTTGATCAGTACCAGTGTCTATTTTTGCTCCAAGAACATGGTATGATCGCTGTGTGCTCTTAATCACTGCCAGCCTTTCACAAACCGCAGTCTGACATCTTTATGCCCGTCTCCAGCCTGCTGGAAACCGGTTTTCCTTCTCCGTCCTCCCTATGTTTCCTTTTCAGGACAATGTATTTACGATGGCAGTAAATGCACAAAAGCCCTCTTTTGTTATTGATCGGGTTCGTTTTGATTTGGACTCACAGCAAGGACTATCAGTAGGGCCAGTGGGGCCCTGCAGTGTACATTTCACACAGCTCCTGCTAAATCCTGTAAGAGGGATTGGTTTCGGGAGGTCTGGCACCAGTCTTGGCTTCATGATATGAAATCATATTAGTTTCAGCTTTTTCAGAGTCACACGGAGAATAGCTACCAATGAAATGGCTGGGCACACCTTCAAAGTTTGGTTATTTATTTATTCAGCCTGTTTATTTGATTTTTTTAAACTCTGCACCTGATAACACCCTGAGTTATTGTCCGGCAAAGAGTGTTTGCAACCTCAGTAAATTGCTTTGTTCTGTGCATGCAAACAGTCCAAATTAGTGGCTGGCTACACACAAAGCGCATTGTCTCACAACATAATGTGTTTTCAATTAGGAGGCGATGAGAGATTTAGCTTATTCTCGGGATAGGTAGCTCTTTCTTCGATAGCTCGAGAGACCAGTAATTGATTACCAAGTGTGAAATGGAAGTTAAGAACAGAGTGTGAGGCTGTGTCCCAGAGGAGAGCACTTTTAAGCAGGCAGGGTGCTTAAGTGGCTCACCTCTCCCTGTACTGACAGCTTGACTTGAAGGTTTCGTCTGCACCCACTGACTCACGGCGTGATAAGAAATGCACCTTTCACAGAGCCCTTTATTTCAACCCAGTGTCAAATATCACAGTAATTACTATGATTAAGCCTCGTTGCGGCCATGCTCCTTATGATACCAGTTTGAATGGACAGCAGCCTGTGATGACTCACAACCCCTTCAGGATGCATTAATATCCTCCCACTGGCTAGGACTCTGAAGCAATGCCTGTCTCCTCGGAGCCTGACAACATGCAGCTCATTACAGACAAACTGTCCACCAGGAAACAAACTATATTATGATATTGTCAACCGTATTTAATTTCATCACTTGCCTAACTCAAGTGCGTCGAAAGCAACACTCTCAGTCAGCAGCAGGCAGACGGCTCAGTGACCCACACTGCAAGGCTCTGTCATATCTATAATGTATCTGTCTCCATGCTCACAGCCACTTACGACACCAGATGAAGAGTGATGCCGCTTGTAATGTGCGGTCATTTTCCTGCTGCGGGTGATAGGGGGTTAATCGCTCCGAACAGGGTTAAACTGCGAGGAGTGTATCGTGGTGCTGCATTGTAACCAAGAAACTCAGTTCGGTCAAGCCAAATAATTAACTTCTTGGAGTTGAATTTCAACTGATTTATAAGTTTGCTAATGCACTGGATGTAACTTAAAAAAGGATAGTTTAAAATTTAAGGAAGGTGCATTTAGTAGCTTTTGAGTGAAGTGTAGGATGAGAAGATGACTATCTCTAATAAATATGAAATAAGGCCACAGCCAGCAGCTAGTTAAAGGGATATTCCGGCGTAAAATTAAGTTAGGGTCAAACACACGGTCACACAGAGTTAGACACCCCCTCGAGATATGAATGTTGCCGACTGCTTGCTTCTCTAGATATACCAACTTAAGTAACGGCCGCACAATAGCAAGATGAGACATCAGGCCAGTCCATTACGGACTGCAGCGGGGTGACTCAGCTCAGCTTTATGATTATTACTTTATCATTTCCTTGAAGTAATAATCACCATATTAATCATTTTGCACTGCAGATGCAGTAGTTCTTCTGCCTTTGCGTCTCAGTCTGATTTCATTTCCATGAAGAAATGATCATTAATGTTCTTCCTTGAGCTGTGTCACCCCGCCTCGGTCGATGATGGACTAGCCTGAAGTCTCCGTACAAAACAAGTGGCTGCTGGAGGAGAGTAGGTGAGTTGTGTTTAGTCTCTTTGCTAAAGAAATCAGGCAAAGCGAAAAAGATATTTGGTGGCTAGTACTGTGGCTAGGACCCTATATGTACTGTTGATGAAGTTAGGTGCTGTTCTGAACCTTATTTGTGGCTATAGAGTGACTTTTTGGTTGAGGTTTGTGTGTGGCTCCTCAGACCGCTGTGTATTGCTATTGTGCGGTCTTTACTAAAGTTGGTATAACTAGAGAAGCAAGTGCTCGACAATGTTAATCTCTCGAGGGGGTGTCTACCTCTGTGTTACCACGTGTTTGACCCTACATTAATTTTAGCGAGAATATCCCTTTAATTTAACAGAAAGACTGTACTAGTTTCTATGGTGTTGCATTCCCTTTCATTTGTCATGAATATCATTAGATATTCATATTGTGGCATGACTGTTTTTGTTGTTTAACACCCTTTAAAACGCAGATAGACAAGGAAATATTACACCTTTTTCAGTATTGACTCTATACTTCAAATAGGGAAGTGCTCATTCTGACAAGCTACATTACTGCAGGTTGTGTATCCACCTGATAAACTTGGCAGGCAATGGACTGATGCCCTTGGATCTCAATATTTCACTGCGTCTCAGCCGAGCCATGTCACACAATGTGATGACATTGTGGACTCGATGATGTAACTGGTTATAGGTTTGAAGTATGTGCTGCTTCAGCAGAGTGATGCCTTACTCCCAGAGATGAAATAAAGTGTGTCCTGTTTTGTATTGTGTACCGCGAGAAGAATTAGTGCCGGTACTCCAAAGCAGCGAAAGAAGCTGTCAAGGTTACAGAGTAAAATAGGATTCAACTTGTAATCCTGTACATTGTAAATCTGCCATTGATTTGTAAGAAAGTCTTGAATTATGTTCCTCTCAGTATTTTCCTGTTATTCATCATATATTTGAAGCAAAGGGCAGGCAGATACAGAAATGTCAAAGCAGTGTGCATCATCGCAGTATCAAAATATGATAATAGAAAGGAATGGAAGGGAGGCAAATACAGTTTCACATTTGCTTTGAGGGCTCCCTGTCAGGTTGGGCCAAAGGGGTCCAATGTGTAAGTGAAAAGAGTGTCAGGAACTAATTTCTGGACGTCGTCATGAACATTCATTTTATCACCAAACATGAGCAATTAGGTTTGTTGTAGACACATTTGGTGTCATACACAGCAAATATGACTGACGCTTAGTGATTCAAAGTTTAGTAAAACTGATTATTTGCAAGTAATAGTTACATTTGGTTGTATGGCTCTGTTTTCAGAGGTCTTTGCGCTTCCATGCACTCGCTTGTCACAATGTCACAGCTTTAGGAGGGGACAGCCCCTCCCCTTCATGTGCATACATGAAAAGCCATTGCAGGGAAAGCAGCAGCGAAAGAAATCCTCCCTCTTCCCTACAGAACAGAGGAAATGTCTGTCACCATACAACACCGTGAAGACCAGACAGCATAAAAACAGGAGGAGCACGGGAGTTCTAGCAGGCAGTATAGGCTGGCAGCAGTTTCAGTATAGTGCTACAATCACATTTAACAATCGGATAGGTAGACAGCAATCAGCTGAGCTGTCAGCTGACTGAGGGTTGGCTTAGGATCAGTTGCCTGAAGCTAAGCTTGACTCAGAGTTAGGGCTGGGCGATAAACTGAAAATGTACTCATACAGAAATTTACAACAATAACCAACGTCATTTTGCCCATGTCAGTATATTCAGTGTCAAAAAAATAAATAAATAAAAGTTGGTTTTGAATGTGTGAAAGTAGGCTATGGTCTCATGCCCCTTTAAGATGCTGTCCTACGTAAGAGACATGACTCCACCCCATCCAGTCTGTAACAAAGAGGGAAAGACAGGTGAGGAGATGGAGGACGGTTCAAAAGTTGTAGTGGTGGCTGAAGTGGACAAAGTTGATGCGGGAGGAGGTGAGCAGTTTGTGGAGTAGTTATCATCCATTTATCGTTATTGAGGTGAACTGATCAATATATTGTGATATTGATTTGAGGCCATATAGCCCAGCCCTACTTTGTGTCCTGCCCAAACACATTGAAACATGAAAAAGTGTAGTGAATCTACAAGCCTCCTGCTCCCATTTTAGGAGCCCTTTACATATTGTGTTTGAATATCTGACTTTGTAACTCACTGTTTTTGTTCTTTTGTTACATTTATGGCCTGTATAATGTCAGTTTCATTCCTTTTTGCCCAAAATTGCTTGTTTAGCACACATCCTTTATACATGGCAGGAGCCTGGATCGCACATTCGAGCCCATTCAAACACACACTCAAACCGGGGGATACCAACAAAGCTAGTCACAGAGCAGCTCCATGGGTGGTTTAAAGGGATAATGTTGTGTTCATGCACAACTTGACAGTAACGTGCAATCCTGTGGCTTGCTTTCTGTCATGTATTTGTGAACAATCTCAGGATTATCTTTAACTCTACCATCTGTTTCCCCACTTTTTAACTCTTATAATAAATAAATACTTTCACTGCAAACAGCTAAAAGCCAGATAAAAGAGAGAGGTGTTTTTTTTCAATGATTTGTTAGATGTTGAAAATAGTTTGAATTAATTTAATTGCATTTTATGTCAGTTTTATCCCTAGCTTTGCCTCTGCAGATCATATTGTTTTCCTATCCTTTTAGCATTGTTTTAAGCCCTGAGTTTAGATACTGTGTTATAAATAAGAGAACAAGCATCCTTATTTGTGCTAGAGCTGGCCTGATATTAGTCATAATAGCTATAAAACACTGGTTCTTAAATGCTACCCATGAGGGTCATTGATATGAATGCATTGCCTCTGACTCTCCTCCAGCCAGCTGCTCAGCGTTTTCCACGCTAAATAACTTAGCTTCGCACAAGTTGTGAGACTGCGATTAGTTATATTCCAGTGGGGGAGAGATTTACAGAGCCATTTTTTAGTCTGTCCGAGGTATCATGCTTTAGAAGTGCTGCAAGAAGACAAAGTATATTAAAGCAATAAGCCACGAGAAGCTGTACTTGACAGTGATTTTGGAACAGCTTAGAGGCATTGTTAGGGACTCTTCTGAAAAAGCTGTCAAATCACTACCCCAAGTAGCTTTACACTGCTATAAAATGTCTGCAGTAAAAAAGAATGTAAATGTGCCATAAATGTAACAGTTTAATATCTGCTATGCCTAATGTTATTTCCTCTGTTTGAGTCATGATTTGGGGTTGTGGGGTATTTTACGAGGACTTCAAACAGGCCCGATCAAAAGTAAAAGGAGAGATGTTTCCTCTCTTTTTCTGAGGAGCTGTATGTAATGAACTTAAATGATTTGAAATCAAAATTGATAAAAGTGAGAGCAGACTGTAGTCATTTATTTGAACTAGCAGCGAGTTACGCTTGTAAAAAAGAAGTGTCTGTGCTTTGTCGAGTTCTCCTGGTGAAATATGCGATTAAAACACTAATTAGACTTTAAAGGTTGAAGATAGGTACAAAAGGAGGATCAGTCATTGGCCTTGGTTGATCCATATTAATGCCACGCTCCTGGAAGTCTCCTACTGACCCGTCCCAAGGTCTAAACTCAGCTTAACTTAAGTTCTGCTTTACGAATATTCATCTGTCTCTCCTGAAGCTTCTGAAGACTGTAGAGGAGGAAAATGAGCAATGCTGTTTTATAACTACAGCCTTAGGCAAAGACATACAGAGTCATGTCTTTTAAAAAATCTGTCATTATATATTCTCGCAGTAATACAGCAAAGAGAAAAGACTACTAAGAACTCTCACTGTTTAAAGGGGTCCGGGTTGTTCTTTAATGTTTTGGATTTGTCTTCTCTTTGTGATACTGAGATCCATTCATGTAAGAACCAGCCTTATCTTTGGTTTTGGTTTCATTTCTTTAAAAACAAACTTTGATATCTTAAATCTGACAGAATCAGCCATGACTTTTAGAAGTTTGGCATAAGTTTGGCGATTGTATAAAAAGGCTGAGTTTCTATGAGCTGCAAAGGGTTAATAGTATCCTATCCTACAAAGTGAAAATACCAACAAGAATGGCTTTTTGTGCTTCTGTTGTTATATGAACTGCTGAATTGATGGCTTGATAAGTGTCATGTTAAAGTTCACATCCTGGATGATATTTCTCACCCACTTTATACTTTACTGATGTAACACAGGAGTTGTTTCAGCAATACTGTAGGTGTGCACTTCACAGACTGAGCTCAGTTTCAACCTGCACTTTGTTCTTGGTGCAATGAGCCATTGAAATAAGCACTATGGAAATTTGGCTCAACCACTGGGCTGGTACTGCTTTCTAGTGGTAGAGGTGAACTGAAATTGTTTTCTGTTTATTTTCATGTGTCATTGAAGAATCATGAGTGTAATGAGCCTTGTTTGTAGGGGTGTCCAGGTACAACTTTTTTACTTCTGATACGATACCAATATTGTAGCCTTCGTTACTGGCCGATACCGATATTGATTCGATATTGGCACAAAATTGTGCATGACAAGTTTTGCACTTAGCTGCAACTTATTTTTCAGACTTAAACAAAATTACTGCCACATGGCCAACATCACTCCTAGATCTTTCTACTTTGTTAGTACCTTAGCAGGGCTCGACAGTGCGACCGTTTCAATCACATTTGCAACTAAAAATAGATGTGGGCGAATTGTAAAATTTATTTAGGGGCACATGTGCGAATAAAAAAAATCAGCTGAGGCAACAAATATTTTTTCATGTAAATACTGCAGTGAAGTAAGTTTTAGGTTGCATATCCGACAAACACTCATTGTGGATCTACTGGTGTCTTCTCACTCTCCATAACCAGGAATAACAACAGCAGCACGGCTAAATCTACCCAGCACCCTAGCTGTCAACATCAGGTGTTGAATAAGGGACCATCAATAAATTACCAGTTGATGTTCTCAGAAAAGGCTGTTTTCCTTCAAAAGCTTCCATGTCATGTGACCAAAAGACCAAAGATTTTTTTTAAAATTATATTTTTATAATATATATATTTTATATTATATTATATATATATTTTTTTTTTTGCTGATATCGGACCGATATCCGATATCAATATCGGATCAGGACATCCCTAATTGTTTGTGAATTCACCTTTGTCCTTTATAATTTCTCTTTCAAGCAGCATTTGAACACTCGCTGGCAAGATAGGATTTTTGGTTCAAGTTAAACCAATCAGTGTTTTTATATTGACAATCACATGTATACATATAGGGTGAAAAAAGTGTGATCACATCAGATCTTTTTTAAATATGGAAATGGTTGTCTAGAATTGCTGCTGGAATCTACAAAATACTCTACCTGACCTCAACAGGCTGACAAGGAAAGCTCATAGAAGCTAAAGATCAAGATATTTCTCTAGGGTGTTCGATCAACACTTCAAGACTACCAGAAGAAGATTGACTTCAGGGCTTAAACTCGGCTGTAATTTCTTGTTTGTGTGTCAGTTTTACGTTAACAGCTCATTTGAAAGCTCCGGGCGCCTGAAAATTTAATTATTCTGTTGTAAGAGGAACCAGATGTAGCTCAGGTGGATAATTAAGTTTGGGTTTGTTTCACAGGATCAATGCATACACTTTATTTTAAATGGCTCTTTAGTCCATTGATACCTATTTGTCCTTGTCTCTCTAGCTCCTCCACTCGACATAATCAACCAGCCAGTTAGTGAGTTCTGGCACTGATAGCTGTCACTAGTGATTCTGGCCTGCACGTCCTCAGCACCTCACAGGCAGTCCGTGTTGTAAAGCTAATTAAAAATTTGGACAACGCATTGTTGTAAACCAAGAATTGCACCCAAGTTCCGCCTGCAATGTGAGGATGGCCTCGTGAAGTAATGGAGCAACCAAAACAAAAAGAAGAAAATCAATAGTCCACTCTGCCTCCAACATCTTAATGCCACTCTCAGTGGAGTAGAGAGGGATGTGTGGAAGTGATGGAGTCTCTGTCAGTTACTAGACATCAGAGGAGTTTTTAATTGAGGCCCCAGTGGGGCTCAGAGGGACAGGAGAGATGTGGAGAGAGAGCCAGCCCAGTCAGTGTTAGATGAGGTAGACCAGTTGTGAGGCCGTTTTCTCGCCCACTGTCATCACTCTCCTCGGCTCGAGCTGGGTGGTACACCGTGATATTTTATCACAGTAATGTTTTTCCAACAGTCATGTCACATATCCTGTTTTTCTTCTTTGGATTGATTACTTTTAGATTGATCCCATTTATTTCCCAAAGTCAAAGTTATTATAAAGTAGCTATTAATACAGTTAGGAGTGGCTGGGGAGGAGAATTTCATACCTGATGGAAATTAAGAGTTCATCTCACTAGACAGTCTCTCAACAGCTGTTCAGGATTTTCTGGGTTGAGTCCTGGGGAATATTTTTTCTCCGCACTATGCTCTGTGTGTTTCCCCAATGTTCTTCCACGGCTGACTTGTCCTTCCAGTCGGACATGAAATCATCTACAATGTGGATGCTCATGTTTTCAAGTATTCCTCATTCCAGCTGAAGTATTTCCTCATGGTCGGCTCTTGTCTCTATTAAGCTGTATGATAACATTTCTTCACCCACCTTTTCTTCACATGCAAATGTTTGTAGGTAAAAAGAAAAGCCTGTTCTCACCAGTCAGTAGTTAAAATGCATTGAGCTGAAGCTTGCTCTACACTTTAATATGACATTTGGAATCTTTTTCCTACAGTTAATGTGTCACCAAATCAGAACCAGAGCACATTTTTCTACTGGCATTACATTTATCCTGGTTACTCTGTACTCTTCTACCAGAGGCCATTGTTAATTGTATTATATAACATAGATGTTTATTAGTGCAGATACACATTCTCACACATTCATGTCTGTAAAATGGCCCCTTGCTAGAATAACAACAAAGCAGCCAACTCTGTGGTGTATAATCTCTTAATTAGTGAGTCTACAGACTATGGAATAACCTTCAACTGTAAAGATAAAAAAACACCCTAACCTTGCCCCAGGCATATCTGAGTAAGACCTGAAATCACCCCTTTAAATGTACCGGTGACTTAGCTTTCCCTTGTTTCCCCTGCAGACAAAACTGTCACACTAGTTTTCTCTGTAGAAATGCATCGTAAGCTTTCTGACAGTAATTGAGGTAACTTCAGTGATTCATTGTCACTCATTTGTTTACATGACACCAGTAGCTCTGAAAAAAGGCACAGTGATGTGCTGCCAACAGCAGATGTCTCGTTGCAATAATAGTTTTTGTCAGTGACATATATTTCTATAAAGATGTTCCATAAAGGTCCATTTCATATACTTTTAATAGCTGAAGTAATCACAGGCTTAGTATTTCTGTCGTGATCGGCTCGTATAGTTTCCTTTAGTATTGCTGTTTTGACCACAAGCTCAGCCAGCTTAGATGTAAAAGTATAATCTTAACGTATGAGTATGATTCACGGTTATCATCCTCTTTTTCTTTCATAAACTTTGGTTGTTCTTGCTTTTTTTGTCTGAATTCTGAAGCATCCCTGACATTGTGACCAGTTTCTTTAAGCACTCACCTCCTCTTCAGACTAAGAGACTGTAAGCATGAGAAAGATGTCTTTGTATGAGTGGAGGGGCGCAGGCTTCAGATTTTGATTAGCAAATGACAAATAGCTGCATTTTGTGTCTCTAAGAGGGCTGATTGTCATTACAGGAAAAACACCAGTGGCAGCAACACTAGCTACGTTTACATGGGCAAAATTTCTTGATCTGATCAAAAAAACTGACTCCACTGTTTATACGGGTGCAAAATCAAATAATACATTATATAGTAATATATACAATATAATAATCATGATGTGTGTATACATTCAGCAAGCTTTATTCAGGTTAGAAGCGCTTGGACATGCACAGAGTTGTCTGATTTCGCTAAAACAACCACAAAGGAAGAGTAGTTGGTTTCGGGAAAACGATTGGCACAAACCACCCCAATCAATCAGAATACAATTTCTTTCCTATTGAGGCGAATTTGATCAGAATCTTCTCAACGACATGTTTACAAGGCACATTTTTATTCAGATTTGGCACTTATTCAGATTATTTGTGCCCATGTAAACGCAGCTACTGTGTGCATAAACAGTTTTTCCCCAAACACCAGGCATTTATGGATTATAGACGGAAATGGACAGCATTGCTTTCTACTGACATCAACATAGATTGCACTGTTTCAGTCTTGTGAGATGAATGTAGGTTGTGTTGATTTTGGAGCCCCCTGTGGACAGAGCAGACTCATTTCTTCTGATCTTGTCCCAAACATGTGTTAGAAGTCTGTGTCGAACTCAAATAACTCCTCTTATTTCCCTTACATCTCTCGCTGTGAATCTTCTTTGTGGGAAATGTAAACAAAGGTTCTCCCAAACTGTGCACTGCACATCGTAGATAACTCCATCTGACCTGGTCACAGCATTTTCACGCTTAAAAAAAAACTAAACAGAGATATTAAGTCTTCTCTTTGCCGTTCTGGTTTGCTCCTGTAGGGGATATAGAGGCATCAATATTAATTTCAGTCTGTTCATTCATAACCAGTTAAGGACTCCTGACAGCAGGTTTAAGATGATTAACTTGGTAATAAGCCCAAGCCATGGAGGATTGGACTGTGTTTAATAAGCTAAATAATCAATGTCTCAACTGTGACTCATGAATTTTTTTTTAATAGATGAAAAACTTGTTCGACAAATGTTTTTAAAACTTCTGGTCATATTGTTTTCAACACATAATAAATAATACTCGAGAAAAACACGATCTCAGCGGGAATGTAAAATCAAGCTCGCTCCGCCTCGGTGCCTAATAACCTTTCTTAATAGCGTGAGACCGCTGGACGGCAGGGGATCTTTGTCTGTGGATCAATCAGGTTAAAGTCAGACTCATTTTACCAGCTTTCCTCACACACTCATCTTTCTGAAAACATACCTCTGCTCTACAAGCAGAGTGTCTGTGGGCGGTGGGCCAGCCTTCCTCTGGAGAAAGGTCAGTAGCAGCCTGTCGTGTCTGAAAGACAGCTTACGAGGTGAGAGTAGACTTAGACCACCACACCTCATTGTGATTCCGGCCAAGTCCAGCGATCACACAGTGACCGGCTTTAATGCGTGCTTGCTTGCCAACCTGCAAACTTATTCACCTGTTTGTTTTTTCTTTCACTTAGGTCGCCCTATCATTCACCTGCTTACCCCATCCCTCCAATCTTCTCTGACTCACTAACTCATCCTCCTCCCGCTCACCCTCCACCCCTGCCCCTGCCACCAACAGATGGCTTTTATAGTTCTCCTGCTGAGGGAAAAAAAGAGAGCTGTTAGAAACTTTATTCCTATAAATGCAGAGCCATTACTCTGTTTTAATGTGCACGTCTGCACAACATACACTTGTGTTTGCCACGAGCGCATGGCGTCAGGGGAAGGGCAATAATGTCAGACAAATTGTGTAAGTAAATGGGCGCTAGGTCGTCCCGGAGACGAGCGCATCGCCTCCCTGCATGCCAATAAGACAGCGAGGTAGCATCTCGGTGAAAAGCAATTTATTGAAATGCAAAAAGAGGAGAGAAGGCTCAGAGCAAAGATGCTGACAGGACAAAAACCTGTCGCCATCCATCTCAGTTTGCCAAGTTTCCCCTCTAAAAGTGAGCTAGTCATCCTCTCACAGTGAGGAGATGTGTTCCCAAGAAATATAGCAAGAACATCTGTTGTGCCTGTGTGTTCACAAGCTTTTCATTCTGTGCCCCGAATAAGGGAGGGTTTAGAGGTTTTGATTGACATCTTCAAGGTTAATAATAAAGGCAAGTAATTGAAACTGAAGCTGAAACAAATTCAAAGTCATTCGTTCAATATAATCCTAATATTCATGCTCATGTTTTCCATTCTGGCTAATCCGTGTCCTCTGACACCAAGGCCATCTTTTTTCCATTAGCACTGTTGTTATTGTTCCTGCCAATCTCATTCCTGAGAGATCGACGCTGCTGCTCAGGAACTGAATAAAGAAGTTTAAATCACCAGCGTCTGTGAGCCTGTTTGCTCTCGCTGAGGTAGTATGCATCAATCACTTCACCACTGTTGTGTGAATGTGATTTAAGCGTGAGCTCTCGTTTTGTCTCACTGAGTTTTATATCTCATTCACTTCACTGTTCTTCCCGGCCTTACTGTATTGTCTGAATGAATGTCTTTCTCTCTGCCATGTGACTCGTTTTTAGAGAGATATATAAGCCTATTTCAACTGCAATGGGTCTGGTTGTGCCTCTCTGGTCTCAGGGGCTGTGTAGCCCTCAAGCAGGGCCGGGCCCTGCTGCTGCTGCTCACCCCCTGGGCGAGCCTCCAGTCCACCACGACCTCTGTGATCAACACTGCTTCTCTACAGGTCCTCCTCTTTCTTCCTCTATTGTCACAACCAAGCGGAGGAAGGTCAGGTTGTTCATCTTGACAATGAAAGTAAAACCTAATTGACTCGTCCTCTCCTCTTCCTCATTCCCGCAGCTTGTCTACAATGAGCCTTGAGGCTCTTTTTAGCCTGAAGCCATCCTTCTGTCAAGGGACATTGTTCTCCTTTGGTTGCAGCTTAAGAGGCTAGGTTTCTTCTAGGCAGGTAAAACTGGGCTGACAGTGTGAGAGAAAGCAGCTTTGATCTCCACTGTCTTCACATTGCAGAACCAGGATGACAGGCAAGGGAGTCTTAGGAGCACTTTATTCCTCCAAAGGTGCTGAAGAGAAAACACTCAGGCTTGTAAAAATGCCTGCAAAGCTTGGCTCTCACATTCACTGAAGCCCAAACAATACCTAAGCCGGCCCCTTGCGAGTCCCCTATAGGGTCTTCCAGAGACTTAGGGAGCCTCATTTCTCACTCGTGATGTGCCCTATGTTAGAGGCTCCATATGGAGGTGGTGTTTTATCATACTCTCGCCTGCCCCCATTAAATATCTATTTTTACCGTAGCAGTCTGCTGTGGCCTCCTGTGATACACAAAACACCTACGACGAAGCACCAGCTTTGATCAGTAACAGTGGATGTGCTGCAGGTGTGGTCTTTGTAACGTATCAAAACACTGTTCGCATGTTATGTTACGTTTGTAGCAACAAATGTAGTTTTTTTTGAGAAACTGGGTAGAGAATAAAAAGTCTACAAGGGTTGAACACAATAAAAAAATCACACTGTACTCAAAATATAATAACAGGCGGTACAACTGCACTCACTTCTTTAGTCCAATGTCCCATTATGTTGAAAAAGAGCTTCAGAAACTACATCCTGCATGCTTTTTAGGAAGGCTTTTTCTGATTGAATTCGCTCAAAGTGCAGGTAAGAATTAGAATAACTTCATTGATCCTCCAAGGGAAATTCAATTGTCTGTCGTCTCATTTGTCATGTCTAAAAAGTCATCTACTACATCCAGTACTAGCCATCTAGTCATCTAGTACCTGTCATCTAGTCATCTGTTCACATATAAAAAGATACTTCATCAGTGTTAAGACTGATCTTGGTGCTGTTGTGGGCTTCAGTATATAACAAAACAATCTATAAATGAAAACATGAATACCAGGAGCTAATTGTTTTTTGTTGTTGCCTTCATCTTTACAGATTTGCTAAGTAGTTCTTTAGATTTTTTTCACCAAATCTGATCATTGTAAACATGAAAGCAATCTTAATAGATTTTTAAATACCATGGAAAGCAAAACAGGGCTTACAAAAATGCAGCAGCACAGTGCAAAGTTAAAGTTAGAGATAAAGTGCAGCTTTACTGACATGCTTAAGATTGTATAATCTTTAAAGAAATCACAGTTTGCATATGCTTAAAAGTGCAGAATTTTCCCATGACTCCGGGCTTTCAGATAGTTTTTGATTTTTGAGAACATAAGAAATTGTAATAATACTCACTGAGCCTGCAATATCCTTTTTTAATGTTAACTTATTAACTGACATTTAATGTTGGCATCAGTGAAAGCAGGAGGGTGTTATCAGTAAGAAAAACCCTAGTCCTAGAGCTTAGGTCTACCATAATTACAATAGTCTCCCTCTTCTCTATATTCATGTCCTATCGGCTCATATAAACCTTAGACAAACTTTACAATATTAACATGTTCTCCTATGTGTGCCAAATATTCACAGTCTCTCAAAAAAACACCAAGTGTGAAGTGAAGTTTAGCCTGTTTGGTGCAGCTCTGAAGACTGCAGACTCTGGGTAATGTGACAGTGCAGCCTAAAGCACTCCATCCTTCCCCTTGCACTAAGGGAATAGGGAATGGGGGAAAGGGAGGATAGGTAAACAGAGCCATTAGAGACAAATCTATTTCTGAAGAAAACAAAATCACATCATCAAACAAGAGAAAAAGAAAAATATGATCCTGCAGCCCTTTGGGCCCCGGCGCAGCAATGATAGCCGACTATGGCATTTGTCTTTATCAGTCTGCCTTGAGGGAGGGAGAGTGTGGTGGGAAGGTGTGAGGATAAAAGAGAATAAGGAGTCAATGGAAACAAAGAGGATGCTGTCGTCTTCACCTGAGCTAAAAGCTAGACACATTCATTACTTTTCTGACTTTATAAGACGTGAACAGCTCATGTATGATTATTTCTCTGTCATACATGTTCTGCGCGGCTCACTGACGGTATGAAGTGGCTCTCAGATGGTCATTCTTTAAATATAACAGAGTGAAGGGCTCGGTGGACAGCGAGCCACAGCACCATCCGTCATGACTAGCCCGGGGAGGCATACACAGCTTCATCAAAATGACAAGATTGACTTTCCAGATTTTATCTTTTCTCTGTGACATTTGGTTGTTTATCCTGCTTTGCAACAGCAGCACCAGAGAGTCTTTGTGGTGCCCTTTGTATAGAGAGATGCTCTTAAAAACAGATTTATATAAATAAGGTTAAATATACATAAAGATCGCATGATAAGATGGAAAAATTTACATGAAACATGTAAAAATTTACATATATGCGTATTATAAATATTGTAATCTCTGCCTGAGCATAAATAACCTCTTTAGGATTGTATTAAAATTGAATTAGAGGCAGTGATTCTTTATTACTGTACTTTCACAAAGCATAGGTGTGAATGCGTTATGGTAGCATACTCATATTTCTTCCTTGCTGATGCTGTGAGGGTGAAATGTCTACTTAAGCAGTTGAATAAATACCTAACATAGCTTAGGCTGATTGGTAATTGGCATAATTAACAGTTGTTTAATTATAAATCAAAGCATTGGGCCAATAAAGATGATGATATTTAGGATTATACTGAAGAAACATGAAGGAATCCTTTTTTTAGAATACAAAAAATACTGTTATGCTATATAACTTTGATTTAAAGTTGTTTAGAAAATGTAATCCAAATTACATTCATGAACCGAGCCCAATGTTGGAGTGAACAAGAAATAAACTGATCACCAAAGTCTTTAGACTTACCATAAATGACTATGCAAAATACCATGGGAATTCATCCAATGGTGGTTTGGATGGTTGTTGTTCTTCCAGTCCGATGCATTTGTAGTGGACCAACTAACAGGCAGACCAACATTTCCATCCTGGAGCCAAGCAAGCCTTGCTTAAAACAACAGCAGAATAAAGACTGAAGCGTTTTTTTTTAATTGCCCTGTTTTATCATTGGTGGGTACATGTAGCACCTCCTTCTCCTCCCCTCTATGGCCGACCGTGTCCTTTCATTAACTCCGTTTCGTAGGACAATCAGTAACATTTGTTTCTCACATCACATGGACTGGATTTTCATCTGAGAATTCATCCCCTCCAAAAGGACGCCTCTATTTGCCCTCCATCTTGGCTGGTCTGTGTTATAGGCTGTCTGCCTGTCTTCATAGCTGTTGCCAAGTCCTTACAGATGCTTCATCATTTCCTCTTTCCAGTGCCAGTCATCTTTCAGTCTTTTTTTTTTTTCATTATTATCTGCCCAGAGCGGGCGCTCTCTGAAGGAGGCCTGTTTGTGCTACAGCCAGACTCACAGCCATTTAGCAGCTCTGCTGTTTTCTTTTCTGCTCCCTCTGTTCAGTTTGAATACCCAAGGGAAATTTCCTCTATGTCTCTGATATCCTTTTTCTGTGCTGCTGACCGGTTCTATTTTTTCACATCAGTTAGCAGTTTGCCAAAATAGTCGCACTTAATTTTTATGCCTAATTCTCTCCTGTGTCTTGAAAAAAAGTCTAATATTTATGTTGAATTATCTAATCTCAGTTTACCTTATTCCTGTTTGGAAAATATCACAACGTACCGATGGTTTATTTTCTTTATAGTATTAATATTGTAAACATAAAGTAGTTATAGAATATTAAAGAACAGCAGCAGAACATGGTAGATCTGAGCAATGTGTAGCAGATTGCAGGGGGTGGGATAGTTAGCGCCAACATCCCCTTAATGCTGTGCCAATGCTGTTTGAGTGAAATGACAACACAGCCTCGTGCGTCTGGTAAGCTATGTGCCATCTGGACTCAATTGAAGGACTCAAGAGTCTTAATTGGACACTGGTAAAGAAGCTCTTACTCCTTGCACATAAAACAACTCTCTGGCAGCTCGTCCCTGCTTTGTCTGACAGTCCCACTGTTTCTGAAAGTCAAACCTGATACCCAGATGATATCCCAATGATGACAGCAATGATGATGGCAATAATCATCATCGGTGTCATCATGTTGTGCTTTAGCAGTTCTGCTGTCTGGATAATTCAGGATTTTTATGACAACTTCCTCTGTCAGCAAATTCGTCAAATTGCAAAATAATGGTGATGGATGCAGCAATGACAGTTGTGCTCTTATTTTAGCTTGGCAAGAGTGAATAATGAGGCTCTCCCTTCACCCCTCTCCTCTCCCCTCCCCTCCTCTCACTCTCCCTCTGCCCTTTGCTTCAGGTCAGAACATCGCGTTCCCCCCAGTGGCCCTGTGGGTAACTGTTGGCCTGGCCGTGTGTCTGCTGGTGCTGCTCATTGCCCTGGCTGCTGTCTGCCGCAGGAAGATCAAGGAGAGCTGCGAGGAAGCCAGGAGAGAAGGTGGATAGGAAGGGAAACACACCAGCGTATATTCTGAAAAAGAAGTACAATTCAATTGGTGTTCTGTTTAACAGCCATGTTTAATCCTCCAGATTAGATAAAAGCATGTTTTAAGCATGCCGTGCCTTCATTAGGTGTAATCTGAAATCTCTGGCTACACTGGAGCTATGTGCGCTAAAGATAAAGTAATTGAATAGTTTTGTGTTTTTTTCTTGGACCGTGTTGGCCTTTTGTGAACACAGTTCAAGGGCTTACTGAATAATGGATGCTAACCTATCATTCTCCTTTCAACCCTTCTCAGGGCCTTCATTAAAATGCAGAATGACTCCTTAAACTCTTCAGATAGCGGACCAGTAAATGATATGCATAATTGCGACGCGTTGCCTCGATCATGTGGGAGGCAGCGCAAGAGCGTGCGAGAGAGGGATAGAGCACAAAGCAGTGATGAGATGTTAACTGCTCAAGGAACTTTGAGAATCCAGAGGGAGTGCTGCTTAATGCGTATAGGCAGGATCTCAGATGGTGGGACACATATCTTCAGCAAAGAGGAACATCATTACTCGGGTCCAGTAATTAGCGTTGCGGAATAGCCGAGGATTGCCGCAAGTGCAAAAAGAAAAAGTTTTGAAACGAGATAGATAGTGCAGAGCCACCAGCTCTGCTGTAATGAGATCTGCTCAGAGTGGAGGAGACATTTAAATAAAGGTCAGCCAGTGTCTGCACCGGGGCCCAGAGGTTTGAAAATAAATATGGAAGTGACACAGACTCAGAGGAAAGAGTAAATAACTCCATGGAACATATGAAATCAAATGAAATGGAAAGAGAAAAATATAATGCAGTCCCTCCCACAGGGCAAAAGGCTCCCAGGGTTGTGAGGGCCTTTTGTTCATTCGGGTGGATGAGGAGTTGCGTTGCTTGCCCACAGCTCCAACACCAAAGGCTGGGCTGATTATGTGGCCATCCACTGTCTGCTTTATTGAAATGTTAAGTCTTATTCTGTCCCCTGCCAGCAATGCTTCTTCAGCCACTGATGTTTTCCAAGCACGAACCCGAGGAGTGGGGGGACGCTGACTTATTCACATATCATGCAGGCCCTTGTACTCTGGATAGAATGATATTGTATGAATACAGATGTGGAGGGGCTTAAAATAGGTTTGTCTGCGAACACATCCAGAGCTGTAGGGGAGGGTAGAAAGCCGAGAAGTGCAACTTAATTGTGGTTGTCTTATCTTTTAACAGTGTTCTCTGGTATTGCCAGATTGAAGTGGACTCTCTCTACTCTGTGTCTTCGCAGCGTTGGTCTGAGGGTCAGGGAAAGTGGAGAAGCGAGAGATTCATTTTTCTTCGCTGTCAAAACATATGTGGAAAACCCAGTGTGTAGTGTAACAGAGAAGAGCAGCTTGTGGTATTGCAGTTGTAAGTGCAACCTCAATTTCAGAGGCAGTGTTGTCTCGACACGATCATGACTCTCTTCTCTCTGATGTGTTTTTTTTTATATATATTCTTTAATCCCTCTTTCTTTGTCCTGCCCTTACAGAATGGCTGTGGATTTTATATATGCCCACTGTGACCTATTCAGGGCCACCAAGCTCATTTTACATTTAGATAGGCATGTGATTTAATCAAACCCACGCATGCAGATCATGTGTAGGTGACATGAGCTGGGTCTCCCCTGTGCGACGGATGAAAGTCATGAGGGAAGCAGTGTTTCCCCGAGGGGTTTTACCCCAGTTGTGCATGTGTTATTTCAGGGTTTAGATCTCTGGTTTACAGTGATTTATTGTCTTGGTGTGTATGTGACTCACATGAAACAACAGACACAAAGATTTAATTCACTGTAAGTCTGTGTACGATATCCTGCAAAATATAAAATCCCTGATAAATATATTGAGAATTGAAGCCGACTCTTTTTCAAATTAGCAAACTAGTTAATTTTTAGTCATGAAGAGGTGGAATTCAAAGGAAAGAATTAAATCCGACAGAAAATGGTGCTGTCATTAAGCTTTATGCCTTATTATGCACAGAGGATTTAAAAGAAGAAGGTTTTCGTGTTTGAGGGAACACACATGAATTAATTAAAGACAGTAATCAGTGTATTTATAGGTCTATAGGTTTGCAAACTGGGGCCATTTGCTTTTGCTTGCACACGAAAATGCAGCAGTTAAAAGACATTCAGGAGAAGCGTTGCACCATTTCTGTGTGGGGGGAATCATAGAGACAGAAAGGGAGGATGATGAGGAAGAGTAACACTCTTCTGGCTTCACCGAGTAGCTGTCTCTGTCCCCTGACTCTGTCATCTTTTATGTGGTTTGTCCAGCTTTTGCACTTAAGCCATAACCACACTTCTTCCCCCTACACACACAGTTGGGATGCAGCCAACATGGGCATAAAATTGTAACACTCTGAATGTACAAGGGCAGCAGTTCTCACTCCCTGTCCTGTGGATGCCCTCGTCTTCACCCTGACTTTAAGGTGCCTTTAAATGAGCCTCGCTCTCTGTTCCCCGAGGTATTTCTACTGCTGCCTCAGTGGTGATACTGTTGGTCGATTTGGAGGTGTGGAGTGAAACGGTGAAGGAAAACAGGCTCACACATCAGTAGGGATGCTGCTCCACTATTTTTTATGGTGTGAGGTTGTGGTATGTTTGTTTATGGAAAGTTTTTACTCAGTAAAGCACAAATAAAGCAATGTTTAAAGAAGGTTAATGTAACTTTGGAACACATTACTTGACGCCTATCTCTATAACGCATTATGAATATGTGTATAATGCATTATAATCACGTTATAGCTCTGTATAACTATAGTTATAAACACTCATAAATGATCTTAACACTTTATAGCAATAATCATAAGACATTATAAAGCATTTTATCATGACTTACAAGGTCAGGTATTATAATGTTTTATAACTGTTAACAACTCACTGACAATGCCCACATAGATAATGCATCATACATGTATTTATGATGTGTTGTGATTTGCTCATAAACTTGTATAACTATCATTATAAACACTCATAAATGATCATAATGCCTTATAACAATAACCATAACACATTATAATACCTGACCTTGTAAGTCATGATAAAATGCTTCATAATGTGTTTTTATCAATGCTATATAAAGCATTATGATCATTTATGAGTGTTTATAACTATAGTTATACAGTGCTATAACGTGACTATAACACATTATACATATATTTATAATGCGTTATAGAGATAGGCTTCAAGTAAAGTGTTACCGTAACGTTTTCAGAATGCTTGAGCAGAAACTCCCCGTAGCTCTATAACCAAAGCCACGCCTGTAATGGCGAATGATCGAGCCACAATCATAAATGGGCTTATATACTGTGAATATTATAGTAATATGTGATTAAATTAAGTTTGTGATAAAATCAGATTTCAAAATTCAACACAGCAACAAGGAGGATTTTCTGAGGACTGCAGAGTGGGTGGACGTGTGCATACAAATGCTGTTTGAATCTGCAAACTGTGTTCAGCTGCAGTAATAATAAGGATTTTTGCTTAATTTCCCCAGAGGATTATAGTCTTTGCCATCAAAGTCATGGAAAATCCAGAATATGCCCAGGAATAAAAACAAATGAATTGTGTTGCCTTGACATTTAATTTTGTTCAATTATCAGTTTAATCTCACATATCAGAGGCTGAATTGTGAATCTCAGGCTCAATTGAGGTTGAAATAGTGTCAGGGAATTAATATCAGCCACTTGAATACTCTGTCTCAGTCCTATTTTTAGCCTGCTTGTGTATGTGTGTGTGTGCACATGCATGAGACGTGCATATGTAAGTGTGACAGCCTTCACCAGGTTGCCTCTCGAACTCTTGACAGTGGGTTTTCAGAAAGCCAGCAGCTAAAGCCTAATGTGATTACTGTCTTTGTGAAAGGGCTGGATAAGAGGTTAAAGGGGTGGGTAAGGCTATGTGTGTAGATATATATGTGTGTCTGTGTGCGTGTGTGTGTGTGTGTGGGACGTGGTGGGGGTACCATTGTGGGGATTTTCGTCGTCATATAGTTCTCTCAACACATCTTGTCCTTTGAGCTGTGAAGGATCAGCTCACCATAGGCGTGTGATGAAGTGACTACATTGTGTGACAGTCTTTGTGCTGTGGAACCCGCTGATAATGACTTCTCTGTCTTTCCACAGCTGAAGAGGCCAAAGAGCTGGAAGAAGAGGAGTCAAAGACAGGTCAGCCAATCCACACCTGGTCAAGACTCAGCCTCTGAGAGCATCAGGGACTCACTGTCTGCTTTAGCCTTCAGTGCTGCTCAAGGGAAAAAAAGCAGAATTTAGAAAATTCACTTGTTAAAATTTCCAACCCTTATGTGTGTTAGGGTCTTGCATTGCTATTCACCCCACTCAGTTTTCACATTTACACTGACACAAAGTGAACATTCATATTAACTCATTTTGGCTTTTAACCTTAAATTAACCAAAAAGATCAATATGGAAATTGCAAAAAAAAATATATATATATATGAGTGCATAAATTAACTTTACAACAGTTGGATTCACAGCAAGCACACAGCATTTTAAGTTTGATCTTACTTACACTTATCCTGTTAGATGGTCTTAATTTTTTATTTAAATTTAAGTTTTGAACATCCTCATTTGGTGTACATCAATTCAAATCAAAGCAAACTGCTGTAAAGAGCAGAAACATGAAAAGAAAACAAGAGAAAAAAGAAAAAAAAAAATACAAGACTTTACTTGTTCTCTGCTTGTGTGCAGCAGAGAATCAGAGGAATTACAGTTTAGCTACTGCTGATTTTTACCTAAAGTCTGATCTGAGTGGTTTAAGTGTTGATAAACTCAATCTAACTTCTCCAATAGTCCTCAAACACATCACTCTTCAATCTCAATGTAAGAGACAGTTTTTCCATAACAAGTATATCATGCATTACCTTCAACCAATCTGCTGTTGAAAGTGGACCTTGACACAGCCACTTTTTTGTTACAGCTTTTTTTACTAGTCACCAACATGACTCAATACTAATATGCTTTAGAAAAACCCTGGATTTGAGGTGACATCTGTCCCAGGTACATCACTTTAAAACAAAATTCCCTCTTAGTTTTCAAGACCTTTTACATGCTGTCTCTGATTGACTTCTAGTAAATTTGAATTGTGAACAGTTCCAAAATACATGGTAGTGGTTTGTTCTCGTCATCCCACGGCCTCTCCAACAGTCCATCTGGCCCTCTGTATGCTTCAGTGCTGGTTTTATGAAGAATCTTACAAGGTTTTTCCAGTTGAACTCTTGGCCTTAATTTTTTTAACATGCAAAGTATCTTCAAAAACTTAATCAATAGATATCTTCAAACGTATAGTGTATTCTATTTTTACAAACTGGGAAGAGAATTGAAGCGACAACACAAAAGTCAACCACAGAGTGTTATGTCTGTCTTATTGAAAAGTAAATCCAGGCAGCAGGGAGACAGAGATGCAAGAAAATAAGTCATTGAATGTTAAGTTTGTTTACTGATGTGTGAGTGAACGCTGATGAAGCATGAGGGCACGTGAGAAATGAAACCAGCTCCAGGCACCAAATCCATTCAGCACAGCGACCCTGTGGCATCACTTCTCCAGGTTTTGTGACTGTGCGAGTGTTTGAGGCAGGGGGAAAGAGACAAGCTCGCTAATTTAGCGATGCCAACAAGCTGTTTTACATTACATGTTCCCCCAAAGCTACAGCCATAACAGTGAAATCTATCGTGTCTATAAATTTAATGGTAACAAGTTCTACAATTTCCAAGTTTCTCGAAATGACAACAACAGCGCTGCCGTGTCCTGCACTCAAATGATCCTGTTTACCAAGACGAATTGATTTTGCTCTGAGTCCTGGCTGAAATGTGTTATGCATATTGTTGTCACCTGGAATAAGCTGCTTGAATTTTTATGATGAAAATTCCAGTGAAATGGACCGACAACGCCTGTGACAGTCTGTCCCCCGATTAATGCTGCATTAGGCTTTGCAAAACACCACTCTTTCCAATCTAACTAGTGCAAACCAATCAATAAAGACAATACCCACTTAGAACTCAGCAGCACTTTTGGAAAATTTGCCCCTCAGCAGTGAGACATTTCACAAAGTGTTCAAAGCCGAGCATTTAAACATGAAAATAAAGATGAAGAAGAGTCTACAGCCTGCAAAGGCTCTGTGAAGCTGCTCTCAAGTTGAACGGTGCCTTGAACTGAAAGCAAACACCAAACATGCTGATGTTAAACATGCTCACTAACTTCATTTAATGATTTAGTCTGTTTACATTTCAGAGTTAGGGTTTAAAAATACAAAGGGATGCAAGAACTGGAGTCTCTTATGGTTGCCTGACAAGATTTCAGGTACATATTGCAAGGAAATAATCGAGCAGATTACAGATTACACCTAAAACATGTTTTACTCTTTGGATTGATCAAATGATAAAGTGTAGAGGTGCTGAAAGGAAGGTGAATTTATTCTGAAAGAACCAAGCTAGCTGTTCCCCTTGAGGTTTTTGAGTCTGACTGAGTTAACAGACTAGCTGTTAGCTTCTGTAAATACACAGGATTATTTTTTTTTTTAATTATCTCATCTAACTAGTCTTTAATAAGTATTAAGTGAAATTCATGAGATTTGTGCATTTCCATTTGAAAGAAGTTATAGGTTTCCCTCAATTCTCATCTTTTGCTTTTCAGTAATTCTAGTGGACCAGAACTTGTGCGTCTCGGTGTGCCTCTATTTCTGTGATGAGAGTTATGTGATATTTTGCTAAGTGTGACCTTATAAGTCCAGAATTAATTTCCCTATTAGCAAGCAGAGCAAGCTTTCTTCTGCCTGCTTGCCCAGCCTGAGCGCCTACCCCTCACAAACCTGAGCGGTTCTCCCTCAAGCGTTAATGTCATTAGAGTTATTCATTTGACTCCTTCTTTAGTCTGATTGAATTATTTAGCCTTTCTGTGAACGGCAAAGTTAATACCATGTGATTTTAATAAGCTGAGAGGTGACTGGGAGTCTCTGAGTGAAGGGGGACAATGACTTTTATTCTCTAATGCCTCTCTCATGAATGTTTCAGAAAGATCTGTGCAGCCAGGAGCAGGGTCAGCTATCCCCCAACTAGAGAGGCTTCATAGTTCAGCTGTAGCTAAAGGGAACTTGGAACCGGGGACTTGAAATAGGAGACTGTAGTTTGCATGTCTTGAAGTGACAAGACAACAACTTGCAGCAAACCCTTGCTCTCTCCCCGCCTCTTGTCACCATCCACGCACCTGGTTGATCCAGGTGGACGTTGTGGGCGGTGAGCTGGTGAAGTCAAGTTAATGGCCCTGCCTTCTGAGATCACTCTGTAAGCACTCCAGACAGGGAGCTTTGTTTTGCCATCTGGCTCCAATTGCGCTGACAAAAGCAGAGGTTCCTGCATGAGACAATGGAGCTGAAATGAGCCCCACTTTAATAAACCCAGGATGATGGGGAGCCACGTTTGTGTGTTATCTTAATGAGCTGTCCAAAGGAGAGCGTGCCTCCCTTTTCAAAGCCAGCCTGATTCGAACAATAACCAGTGATAACTAGGGACCTGTGCCCATTTATTTGCAATAGGGTTGGGTCTCTTTGTTGCCTTTATAGCAGAGGCAAATAATGTTTAACAAACAGCAGAGCTCGAATTTTGGATTTAGCTGCATCCCCTTTACACATACACATACACTGAAGGGCAAAGTGACACACACATGTGCGCACACACACACAGATAAAAGCACTTTGATACACTAATCTACATCCACATTTAGAGACGTGCGGTGTGTATGCGTCGTGCTGGCTTCATCCCTCACCTCCCCACCTCCTCTCTGAAATGTGTTCAGTAATCTGAGCATGATGTGCTGTTTAGAGGGGGCTGCAGTCACGCAAGTGCAGCTCCTCCTGTCAGAAGCTGGCTTTAGTTTGTGTGCACTAGCCCCTGTCTCCCTAAATCCTGGACTCTAAGGAGTCAGGGCCTTAGCAACAAGGCACTGGAAGAGAGTGTTAGTCAGTGACCCAGTTCTTTCATAGACAAAGAATTGTCGAAAAGAACAATTTGACACGCCCTCTGAAGAGGAAGCTCCATGAGAAAAACGGTTTTATTAACCCTCCTTAGCTGAAGCAAGGTCCTGTGAAGGTGGAAAGTTTGAGAATTTCAGGCATTATAAATCTGATAGCAGAAGGAAGCTCCACCCTCCTTTGTCTTCCGCCTCCTTCATGCCAAGGCCAGCTATGAAAGATGGATAACAGTCTCTAAAATCATATTAAAACCTAAAGCCCAGGAGCTCATCACCTTAAATGTTGTGTTGATTTTAAGAAGCTTGCCAGGTTAAGGTGACTCTTGAGCAGTTAGACAGAAACAAGGACAGCTGTACCAGAGTCAAAGTCACCTCTGTGCTTATTACATCCCCTTCTGTCTTGTCTATTGAGTTATTCACATAACAGTGAAAATACAACCCCTGTATGCAAGAGGAACATAATTTTCACCTTATGTCTCTCATGGGACGTTGAGTGTCGCATGTTATGTGCACCAATAAACCATTTATATTTTTCAGTGAGGGTTACAGCAGTATATCATATAAGATTACACTTATATTCTTAATTTTCTCTGCCTATGTCCTCAATCATGTATGCTTTAAGTTTGGTAAGGTGAATTCAAATTTAGAGGGCAAATTCACAAAACAAACAAAAACTTTTAGCTTGGATTTCAGGTGCTACTTTCTGTTTGTGTTTGTTTAAATCATTTAAAATCCCCTTTTTAAAAGTTAAGTGATCATGTCCAAATGATTCAGTAGTGTCATGTTGAGTTTTGGGGTCCTATGAAACTACATTTCCTCCAACAGACACTAATTTTCTAACCACAGTAAAAAAAATATCTCTATATATAAATATATAATGTTGGATATAAATGATATACTGTGTTATCAGATTTGGAAACTATTTTTAGGATGGAAATGTACCCAAGATTTTTTGAAACCCTTAATGTGAATAACTTTTGAGTGTTTACGTGAAATATTTCCCGCGATACCTTTAAATAGTTTCATTTCCATATCTACAGTGTTGATTAACACATAGACTCAGTTTAGGACACCAATTATGAAGTGTTACAGGCAGTTAAGCTTTAAAGTTATACTAATAAAATGTTTGGAAATTGGATTCTTGAAATACATGGCATCCCCAGACCAAGCCCTATTAAAAAGTTGCATGCAGCATACTTAAAAATAACCCAGTTTGACAGACCTGCAGGTCACTTACATACCATTCCACAGTTCAGATTGAGTGGGCCTTGGAAAACAGCCTCAGGCGGCTCTGCTTGACATGCCCTCCCTCTCTCACTGGCATCACATACTCAGCCACTGGGCTCTCCCAGCGGTCACACATTACTGACTAAAGATATGTAAATAGAACATTCATGTTGCCTTCATTATTAGATGTGGGTCACAGGACAACTTCAAGAGTGCTAATTAAAAGAGCTCCCTGCACAACATTGCTTCATAGTTGCAAACACATTATTCAAGCACCGCACTCATGTTCCTTGCTGTTTCAGCAGTGCGCAGTAAGCTACATGTTTACTACTGAGTTTTCTCCAAGGGTGAACACTGAGAGATGCTGTTTTGCTGTTATAGGCCAATTAAGATTGGTTGGGTAATAATGGGAATTATAAACCTCCTTGCACATGAATCATATAGATTTCACATAGCACAGTTTTCTATAATTATGTACAAATGAATATTTTCTGTGTAGCTAATCTCCTCTTTTCTTCTCTCAAGAAGAAACAGTGTTATACAAAAGGAGTTGCTTAGAAACCTCTTTTTTTTTCTTGCTTTCAATCTGCCTTTGCCTTGATTTTAGGATGGATTTCATAGAACATGTGCAGCACACTGAGGTACTTTTGCAACCTCCCAGAGGTTATCTGCTGGCCCGTGAGGAAAAGGCCACCTGATCATTGTCAGAAGAGATAGAAGACAAATAGCAGCTCCTAAATCATTTGGAATAATGAGTGCTGTCACCGTTAATAAAAGCAGTCAAACCACTCCGCGCATCCCAACAACGATCCAGTCCCGCTGCTGCCTAGGTTTTGCATAATTGACAAACGAAATTGTATATAGAGTGGTATTGTGAGAGGACGGGGGTACAGGGGTTCACAAGTGAAGGCAATCCTTTTTCTTGGGATGAATCCTTCTGTAAAGACACCATTTACATCCTCCTGCCATCCAAGCCCCCCCATTCCCCCCTCTGTCATGTAATCTCCGCTCCTCTGACAGCACAGCCAAGGCCCGGTGGGAGAGTGCCTATCCATCTCACTACCCCAATCTGCCTCCCCTGTTTGGTTCCACATGAGCACTCAGCTGCTGTGACTAATTAAATAAAGCGCTGTGCCCTCTGCTTCCTGTTAGCCATGGCAAGGTTGGTGCACAGAGATGGAGCGGAGTCGGAGGAGGAAGAGGAGGAGGGGTGCTAAAGGAGTGAGGGGAAGCGATAACAACAACCAAGGCTGTAATGATGCTTTTTCATGACACAATAGACATGAAAGTTATATTGATGCTGACATGATCCCATTTTACAGTCGTTGTATCTCTCACACAGCTTTAAATAATACAGTATTTGGAGCTCAAGTATTCATGACTGTTTGTTTTTTTTTTTTCAGCCATGACACTGCTGAAAAGCTAAGGCCAGGAGATTCAAGGTGAGTGTGTGCAATTTTTATGTGTCTTTACATCCACCTTTGTATTTGAGTGTCGCTCAGGTGTCACTTTTTTTTCCCCCCTTATCACAACTGCCATATACTCTCAGCAGCATTGCTCTAGAGGACACAGTGTCTCCAGAGGCTCTGGGTAAGTGCTGCTGTAATGAGGCTAGGCTGCATTGATTTAGCAGACAGTCAGGAATATAAAGTTTTAACATTTTGATTTTTGGAACAACAGGGTCACTGTCTGCTCTGACTAATCCATTTTGTTTTATCTTGCATGTAAACAAAAAATATCATTCCCTGCTGCAAGAGCGGCACTGAAACCTTTACTGTGCGATTGCCCTCCTTGTTTTCTAAATCTGTGCATATTCACTGCCATCCTCATGAAGTTTTCAATCTGCCAACTTTAGTTCGTGATGAGCTGCAGCAGCAGACCATTCTGGTGTTACAATGAGGGCCTTACATAATAAGGTTAATAGCACCCTTCTGCTACATTTAGGCAATGTGTCACTGCTTTTCTGTGGATGCTTGGCCAGTCATGAATATTACATGTATATTTCAGCAAACCCCATTAAAAAATACCCTGTAGACAGGAGGCAAAGAAAGTCTCTGCCTGAGATTATTCCACATTTGGGAACTGATTTCATACACAGCACATACAGTACATATGGGATACTGTATTGTGAGTGAATGAATATGCTAAAAAGAAGCCTTATAGACTGAGTAAGACCCTGACATAAAGCACAACCACCTGCTCATAATACGTTACCCTGCTTGTAACTAAGAAACAAACAAAACACTTGACACAGAATATAAATGTAAACATGACTTTATTGATTTACAAATGATTTTCTACACCTAAAATACTGTCGCTCTGATACCATGGTTGGTAGCACTTATGTGGCAGCAGGTTGTTATCTGCCTCTTTGCGGTTCACATTAACATTAAAATGACATCAGCCTGCTCATTTGCAATTCATGTCTGACCGAACGTTCCCCTCATACATAACATTAGACAAAGAGAAAGAGACTACTACAGAGATATTTATGTTGACATTTCTGTTCCCCTCAGCTCTCTTACTTCTTTAGTATTTGCAGATGACATACCTTTAGACATAAATGATACAGATATCACAACTTTCAATTGAATTTAAGGTAAACATTAGACACACGAATCAAGCTGCTTTAGCGTGGTCAGCAACTGTGAGAGAAATTCAACAGGTCTGCTGCCGTTGTCTGGATTGCAGGACAGGATCTTGCTCTTTGAAAATCAACCACTATTGTGATGGGTTTTTACTAAACAGGATGAAGAATATAATACAGCTAAGTAATAAGTATTGACAGTCAGAAGGAGTACAATAAGATTAGATATATGCACTGTATGACATTTTGCTCAACAGTAGCAACATCTACAGGTAATATTAGCTTATATAGAAAGACACACTCTTCAGGATTCTGGGATAGAATATGCCTTTCAAAGTCTGTATATTGTGTTTTTCAGTACCATGGACAGCTCCACTTGTAACACGACAGAGGGAGGTTGTTGAAGAGGGGACAAAGAGCTAAACTGAAAGAGACTTTAAAATTACTTAATTTTTTGGATTCATGTCTTTAACAGGTTTTATCTGTGTTGGATGTGTAAATTGTTTTAAATAGAGAATACATAGTGGGAATGAAATGTGCCAGTGCTGTAGCCTTTTCACTATATTGGGGGTCTGATTTGAATACATTCTGAATACTCTTAACAATATAACTGAGCAGTTTGATAAGTTGATGATCCACTAAGAAAAAGTATGGCAGCTGGACATAGTCGTGTAAATGGGGAAATGAAAAGTCCAAAATGATAGGATTAGATAGGAAGACTGAAGCACAGGAGGTCACTTAAGGATACACAGTACACTACCGATGGAAGCATCACTGACATTCCAAACCAAGGGTATTAATCCTGTTCTACTGCAGCTTGCTGTCTCTGTTGCCTCCTGCTGGGTGCAAGAAAAGGTAGAGGTGGGCAATTTGCTGCTGTGTGGATTGACTCTGTCATGAGTGTCTCCGGGCTGGGGGAGACTGTTCAGTTCTCCCTCTTTTGGAGGCTATTAACTCCCAATTTCCTGACCAAATTATGTCCAGAAGCTCTTTTTTTTTAACCTAACTTTTTACTTTGACCTATACTTAAACTTTTTTTTAGGGCTGCCAGTTAAATTGCATTTTGAGGATTGTCACCTGGCCATCATTCTTGTGTTGACCTTTCTTTTTCATGGCAAAAACAGTTTCTCTTGACTTTGTTGGAATGTTAGAAAACCCGTTTTTCTCAGAGGGGATGCATGGAAGTGTATTTTACCTCACTCATATTGTCAGACTGATTGTTGATGGCATGGCTATATAACCTTATTTTTTGTAGTGACTCCACTGCAATAGCAGGCTGACCTAGACCTAGAGCAGCAGCAGTAATACAGTGGCAGACAGGCGAGCATTTCCGATCTTGATGGGGGCTGGAGTGCTGGCAGAGGCCCTTGGGGAGAGGAATGGCACAATCCCAGCAATGGCCCCATATTCACTCAAGCATGGCCGGTCTGTGTCAGGTGCTTTATCCCTTGCTGGACGGAGGTTGCGCACCCCTACAGGTCAGGAAAGCCCAAAAGCTCGGAGCTATTTTGAGGATGTTTTGGAGCAAAGCTTCTTTTTTTTTTCTGATGTGTAATTTATCTTTTTTTCTTTCAGTGTAGATGCTGTGATATTTGATGCTGATTTGATGCCTTTAAGAGACATTTTGGAGACACTTCATCAATTTTGATTTGTCAGATATTGGAGATTTTTGGTCCCTGTGGAGCTGGAGTGATAACAGGATGGTGCAGATAGTCTGTCTTTTGTCAGGAGGAGATGGATACCGTTGTTTATAAATTTAGAAAATAGTTAGTGAGTATCTCCTGCTGTTTGGGACAGTGTCCAATGAATATGACTCATAAGGTAAACCTGCATTATTACAACACACATGCTTAGACTCAACAGAGTCCTAGGGGCTGAACAGGTTTAATATGATGTGTGTATTTGATGTCCTTGTCTGTACATTTGTTTGTACAGTACCTGCTGTGGGAAGGTAGGGGAGAACAAACTGCTTTACACCGTCCATGAGTCACAGCTCACTAATATCTCACCTCACATGAGCACTGAGTATGAGCCGAGACTTTATCTGTTCTTCGCTGCACCCTTAACTCTTACTTAAATAACCAGCTGTTCTGTGTCAGTTGTATGAATACTTTTATCACAAGGTTGGACACTTACAGCTTGCTTTTATTACACTCTGATTGGTCTTTGCCATAAAGCCGCAGCGTGCAGGCTGAGTAGTAGATGATAGAAGGTCATTTCCTGTAACTAGCCAAAAAAAAAGTCTGGCCAAGGAGGAGTTAAATCGAGGATGTTTATTGTTACTGTAGCATCCATTGACCTTCACTGTGATTGTTAACGTGAGGTAATATCCTGCAAGCAAGCCCCCAGACCTCCCTGCTGCTGAATCATCCTGGATCAATTATTCTAATATTTGTGTGGCAGTTTAGCTATCGATTAATGCATTTATGCAGAGTGCAGCATATCTTATTTAATAAAGCCAAGCACTGCATTTAATTAAGCTGTTTTCGAGTCAGGAGGCACTTTGTTTTCATAAACCTGGGCCTTATCAATACACGTGTTCATTTGTGACCTGCTCCACCTTTAGTATGTCATTACTCGCAGCAGTGCACTGATATTATAGTAAATGGCTATTTGAAGCTCATTCAATACTTTGTTTACTGTGCTCACCGCTATGTTACCGTCTGTACAGTCTTAGACTCAAGGTGTGATCGCATAAATACAGCGTGAAGATCAACAAGTAGGCGACAGCAGAAGTAGAATTTGAATTTGTTAATTTCTTGTCGTCTGTTTTGTTTTTACTCAGCATTTTTGTATTAAAGGAAAACTTTGGTTTTGCCTTTTTTTATGATGAATTGCAGAAATATCTCCCAGTACAATACTCCTGTCAAAAATGTGGATCAAGGTTCACAATCTACGTTGTCTTCACGCATAATTAAACCATTATACAGACCGCCCTGTCTGACAGCTACAATAACATGATACCATGCTTCAGAGGACCGAGTGAGTCAACTAGTTATTTCACAAAGTTTTCCTCTTTCTTGTCTTTGTCTTGAGACGGTTGCATAAGCACAGTGTTTGAATAATGCTGGTTCAAGCAACACTTGAATAAAAAATGCTGAATATCAGTGTTATTGTTCTTTGGGCACTGAAGTTAATGCATTCCATCACAAAACTGACTCATCTGACCTAAAAAGAATATTATCTACAAAGAACATTGTCTAGAGACACAGTACGATTTCCAAGTGAAATATTTTGTATTCCATTCTTAGACCTGTGGTCATAATCTGCAGTGATTTTTTTTTAAGACTTTTTTTTTCTTTATAGCTGTAAAGGGTCAGCAAGGAATTGTTTTGGCAGGACTTTAGCCTAGCAGGAGATAGCTATAAATGAGGTATGAATACATTTTCAAAGCCCAACATGAAGAGAATAAAGAAATCTCAGGGAGCAGCAGGGACAGACCTAGTCACCCACCTTAACGCTTTAATGAATTCCAATGAGTGCTGATTACATTTGATAATAGATTGGCACTATATGTGTAATTATTGCCACGTAATGGCCTTCTCCTTAGCTCCACTGCAGAGTTGTGAAATATTTACTTAATCCCCACCCTCATTATCACTTTAACTCTGGTCCGCCATGCCCAGAATTGATCCTACTGATATGCATTTTTTTTGCAGAAATAGCTCCAGGTTTACTCTCTTGCAGATTTACAAGTAACATTACAGTGGGGGGTTTAAAAAGGGGGTGAAATAGGGTGAGATTTCAAAGAGGAACATTGCTCTGTCTACCAGATATGCGAGGTGGGGGTGTTCTCTGATGATTGGAACAGAAATTTTATGTTTGAGAAGAGAGGAGTGAAGCATCAGGAGAGACAGAGGGGGCCTCCTGCAGTACCTCTCTGCTATATGTGGCAGGTGAGGCTCGGCAGACGCTGATGATGTCAGACAGGACACTTACGTTGGACTCTCTCCAGGGAGATGTCTTGAAGTGGAGTTTGACTCACCATTCCAGTATCTCTGATCTCTGCATTATTTATGTTTTTGTCTCAGCCATTTATCAGCATTTTTATACCTCACAGCCTCATTCTACAGTACATCTCTGGTGATGGAATAGGCTGCAGCAATGATAGCCTCTGAGGGAAGCCAATAACTGAATATAGTGGCTCTTATTGATATCAGAAAAGTGTGGAATGGACAAGTGTGCTGCATGGCAGTCTCTGCATACTGTTGAAAACCTTGGCAAACATCCGATCGCATCAAAATTGTGCTTTGAAAAATAGAATATAACAAGGAAAATGCTGTGCTGGCTCCACTTTACCTCTATATAAATTTTTTAGGACACAAAACTGGTACCGTGTGTGCTGTGGTTGCACAGCAACTGAATCACTGATCAATGACAGCTAATGAACACGGCAGGAGTTCTGCTCTGTTTGCCTCTCGACAGAGAGCTGCCTTCTCCAGAGAGCTCCTTCTCTTCTCCTGTTTTTGCCAGAAAAGCACAGGAGCCTTCATTGAAACCAACTGCCTCTGGGCTCAATTAACTACCATAGAGCTCTCATAATGCAGATGAGAGACTGTGTATAAGATCAGCGGCATGGTGATGTTGGAAATCACACACAAACGGAAGTGCATGCTCAAATTCAGACAACTGGGACATTATAATCCTAAGATATGCAATAACTGAATAGATGATGAAAAAGCTCCATTAAGAGGGAATTAAGAAGTAAAATAATATATTCAATTCATCAATGCTGTAATGAGAATTGACATTATCGACACGCACAAGCATGAATTCTCCGGGGCTACTTCATGAGGCTCCGAGCACCACAATATGAAAGTCTGATCGACTGATGAAAGTGGATAAACAAAGTAAAGAGGCTACTCTAGATTCATATTCACATGAAAATCTCTATTAGGATGTTTAATTCATGTGGACCCAAGCACACCTCTGCTCTGAGTTTGGGCCCCCAGCAATGGCCTCTGTCAAAACAGTGTCATCACTTTACATCTCATACTCAGACCAATCACTTTCAGGGTTCCTACCTGCCCGGCATGTCTTACAAAACAAAAAAACTCATCTTAACGGTCATCAAATAAAATGATGTGGGCTGGATTGGCAGCAGGATGTTGGAGGCATTCTGGTGCATTGGGAGTTTTCCATCCACAGCCACCATCCATCAATGCATGTGATAAAGGTTTAGGTCACAGGAGAAGCCTTTGTAAATGGATCCCAGCCTCTTGTTCACAAAGACCACTTATCAAAGAGAATATGCACAGTACTGGAGAATTTACAGATGGCACAAACCTAAATACTGAACAGCCCCCCCACCGTGGTGACAATATGCTAAACATATTTCCTACTGAATAGTGAGGAGTGGGTTTTGTTTGTATCTTTCTGAAGTAAACACATTGAGAAGCAGCACGTGCACAAATAGAGGAAAAGAAACCTGCGCGATACTGAATGCTAACTAATTGCTCCAGGCTTTTTGGTTTTTCCTCCCATCAACAGAGTGAATTTACTAATGAGCTATGGAAGAACTTTATCAAACAAGCAAAATAAATCATTAAAAATCAAGAGCTGTGGAGACACTTCAGGTTTTTTTGTCTTCTAAATGAAGTTCACGCGTTGCTTGTTGTGTTTTTTTTTGCACACAGCAATGCTGTAAATAACAGTGCATTACAATTTGACCTTTATTTCACAAATTCTAATTAAACTCTGATCTTTAATTTTCTAATGATGGGCATTATCTCAAATTACCTGAGTAACCAGCTCTCTTTGTATCCCTAACAGCTGTCGGCATATAAAATGCCCCTAAAATGGGAAGTAGAGTTTGGTTGTGAATCCACAGCTAAGTCGTGCGTCGACCTCTGTGCATACCTAAAGAGTGCAACCAAGGCTAAAAGTACTATCATTGATGAAAACAGGTCACAGTCTTTCAGCCAATCCTGTGTCTGCACAGTTCAGCTGATAGGGTGACAGTCACCTTCATGCAGCATCAGTCACCAGCACAAGTGGAAGACAGTAGCTCAGGAGGGACGTCCTCCCGTGACTCTTAATATTCATCCAGACGAACGTACTGGGAAGATAAGTGTTAGAGGATAAATAGTTGACTCGCCTTTTGAAATTGCAGACATCCCGGTGTGAGCGCTGAATAAATTGTGACTCTTTCTTCTCCCTTCCTTCTACTTTTCTCCTGAGATTGAGTCACCTCACCTTCAGGGTTTACACCGGGAGTCTCTTCAAATGATCCTTTAGACTGGAGTGAAGGATCAAGATTAATGCACCTCCATGTCCCACCCAGGCTCCAGGGGGAAAAAAATCCTATAATTAACACCAGGGGGGTTGTAGGCTGCTTTTGGAGGTCAAGGGTGGGGTACCTTTACCATGGAAGAAGAGTTTACCAAGGTGTGGGATTTTTTTTGTGTGAAATGTTGCACCAGCTTCTGGATAACAGGTCACTGAGTGGCCCGCTCAACACTGGGGATCATTAGAAAAGTGGAGGAACCTATATACTGCTGCATTATTGGATCTCACATGCTCTCTTTTCAAAAACTTGATCAATTTTGAAAACTTAAGAGACCCCAATGATGACTGATTGTTTCTATAGCGTGTGGTGTGCCACAGTACTTTAAACAAAGTATAACATATGTAAAAACACTTTTTAACAGCAGCTGAAGTAAGAAATAAAAGTTCGCTTGTCAAAGATGATTAGAGAGTAAGTCATGTTAGACACACACACACACAGATAAGGATTTCTGATCCTAAATACCAAACATGTTTAATATTTAGGATTTGGGGTCAGAGCAACTCTCATCATCTTCTGTGTAGATCAGAGGGAAGAAAAATCCTCCTTAGTTCACTTCACACCACAGAATAATCTGGAAAGATAATCTTTGGAACCATCCGATAACCGGGCCTGTCCTGACTTTTGTTTGACAGAGGGGATCTCGCCCACAATCAGCACAATTATCTTCTAGTGTGTACCCCGCTTCAGGTAGCTGACCGACAGCAGAAAATCTAAACTTCTGTATAGTTATTATCTGGCCCACTCTGCTCAACATTTGTGAAAAATACGAATAAAGTCAGAGATAACAGAGAGCGAATGGGTGGATATGCAAATTAGGGTCCCACAGACAGAGAGACAAGGTGAGCAGGGCCCCATGGAGCGGAGGGGTGTTACCTTTAGCCTGCAGGGTAAACTGAAATTAAGATTAAACAAAGCATTTTAATTCAAGGTTAAATCAAAACATTAGCCTGCTTATTTGTCATAACTCACATCGAACTGAACATTACCATGAAACATCACCAAGGTAATTTCACCAAGGTGAGAACAAATTCAAGTTCAAGACTCCTTCATTTACATGAATGGTAACAACCACTGTTGCCAAAGCAAATTATCTCAAACTTTTAATGACTGTTAAACTCAAATACAAAAAACAACCTGTTACAGATATTTATGTTGACATCTTTGTCCCTGTTTATCTCTCTTTCTTCTTAGAGCTGCACCTTCATACATCAGTTTGACGGATGTCTCAAAGTAATTGTTGTTGCTATTATCACCACTGCAGATGAGTTTAAAAAGTGCTGGAAGCCTTTTACGTGGATGAATTTGATATGACATGTGTTCAAGTTGTCACTTTTGTTGTTGAGAAAAAAAAATGTTGTTATGGGATATTGACCAATCAAAATGAAGTATTTAACACAGGCTGGTGATAAGTACGAAAGCCCACGCAGGTGAAATCAGAAATCTGTTGGTCTGTATCTCAACTTTTAAAGCTGTCATTTGCGAGACTGAGTGTCTCATTTAGAAAAAAAGTGTTTGTTTGCAGGCTGTGCATGCTCATTAAAATACGATAAAAGCATTACACCCCTCTTTAAATGTCACTTCAGGTCTAACACTGGTAGATACATCCACAGTAAGGAAATTAGTGCTAATTAACTTAATAGTAAGGAGAATGTTGACTGCAGCACATCATTTTTATACAACCTCCCCTTGTTTATCAAAACTGAGATTCAAATGAAAGATAACTTTTGCACAGCATGGACTTTGCTGCCTGACAAAAACAGTTGTCCTGAATTGTGCATGTGTTTCAGTTTTTAATATTCTTGCAAGAGCACAACACTAAATAAGAAATTTCTGAGAGCTGTGAGCTTTGTAATGTACATACAGCCCACAGTGAAAGATCACAGCAGTGCTGAAACATGCTGCTGTTACAACATGAAACGTGCTGAGATAGGGTCAGAAATTATGGTAACACTTTATTTGATGCACTAAAACGCATTATAAATATATGTATAATGTGTTATAATCATGTTATAGCCCTGTATAACTACAGTTATAAACGCTCATAAATGATCATAATGCTTTAAAGCAATATTCATAATGTGTTATAACTGTTAACAACTCACTGACAATGCCCACATAGATAATGCAATGCAACTGTTGTAAACAGTTATAACACATAATACCTGACCTTGTAAGTCATGATAAAATGCTTTATAATGTGTTTTGATTACTGCTTTAAAGCATTATGATCATTTATGAGTGTTTATAACTACAGTTATACAGTACTATAACATGATTATAACGCATTATACATATATTTATAACGGGTAATAGAGATAATAGAGATAATAGAGATACTTGTCAAATAAAGTGTTACCAAAATTATAATAATGACCTGAAAGGGTCTTTAATGCACATTTTAACAGGGTTTAGAATCAGAATCAGAATGACTTTATTGATTCCAAACTGGGAAATTATTGTGTTTCAGCACCATTGTACAAGTGAGCCAGAACAATGTAATATAAGAATGTAAAAAAGACACCTAGTAAGAAATTACCTAAATATAAAAATATAACAATACATACATCAAAGATTTCCTTTATACTTTCTTTACAGAATACTGACTTTAATTTGTAGGCTTAAAGACACAAATGTTTTTGTGTCCCTCTAATGGGACTGGAGGATTTCTCCTTTTGTTGCTTGACTCCATCACATGTCACATGGTTTGTGAAGCAATAGTGATTAGTGCACTGTCATCAGTAAATGTATAACATTTGTATCTGATCTGGGTGCCGTAGTCATCCATTTATCGCTCCCTATTTGAGATATTTTCATCTTGGTTTATCAGCCAAACTACGCAAAGACTTGATGTTATTTCAAAAGGAGATATGTGTAGGGCTTTAGCTGAAGCAGCATCTTCCTGGAGGTTGTTAGCATAGGTTTGCTCAAGCCTCAAATATTTTCTGCAAAGCCACAAATCTGCAGTGTTCACTAGTGTGTCATATTTGGCTGTGAGTCAGACTTCACTGCGACGGCGATTCCATCTTTATTCATTTTGATCATCAGCTTTAAGTTAGTTATGGCAATTTCCTGTGTCACTTTTGTTTATGCGACTGGCTTGATTTAGGAAGATGGGGCTGGAGGAAGAGAAAGACAATAAAATACTTAACCTATTTTGCTGCGCACTTACACACAGTTAACTTGAAGGTTATGTATTTACACGCTTGGTTACGCCTTATAATAACAGCCTCTTCCATTTCTTCCCACGCTGATGATACTAACTGCTATTTAAATATATCCCACAACCCACCATTTTGTGTCCTGCAGTTCCCAGGGGATCATACGTCCGATGCAGCCCATTACTGTCTATTGAATGTTATAAATGCATCCATAAAAGATCTGTCCCCACTACAAGCAGTATGCATTATGCTCTATAATTATTCATCCTTGCACCGAGAAATTGTCATGGTGTTTTTGATCATCTGGTAATGATCTTAAGTATCACCAAGGTTTCGCTGCTTCCTCATTATCCTGAATACCTCTCCAAGGTTATTCCCAAACATTTGCTTTCATTTCACTATCCCTGGTGTTTATCTTTGATATGTGCTCTGATTATTTTTTGTTTTGCTGTGTCAAAAAATAGCAGGCCTGCTGTTTTATTGTAGTTTTGATGTTTCAGGAATACAGATTTTTTTTTTTTTAAAGGCAGGCAGGTTACAGGCAGAGAGAAATAGAGGATGGCACTCACATTTGGATGTAAATGAGGAAAGAAATGGGCACAGTGTAGATTTCCAATCGTTCATTGGATTGAATCCACTGTGCCGCTGTGTCTTTCACGTGAACAATCTCTTAGAGCCGGGCTAAATTAGTGTTCAATCTCGTGTACCTGCTGTAAATGAATCTGTCCATCAGCCTTGTGTCTGAGGTGCTGGAGTGGAGGAACGGTTCAGCACTGACACGGCTGCTTTGGATTCCCGGGGAGATTGTAAGACGTGGTTATGTTAAACGTTAAAGTTTGAGTGAACTTTTTTGATTTTCAAAGTTCAGAAACCCTGTTACCTCGATTACTTTTTTAACAGACTGGTCTTTTTTTTCTTTTTTTTTTTTGGTATTTGGAAAATTACACCTATTGTACTGTAGATGCTCATCTATCTGTTTAACTCTACCTCTGACCTCTAGACTCAACTGCATAACTCCTATTTAAAACACGGGTGCTCAGACCTCCCAGGGCACCTAAGGACAGGTTTAAATATGATGAGAAAATGCATGTGTGAAAATTGTGTCGTATTCATTTGGCTGATGGATGAGTCGCCAAGTTGAATTACCCTCTGACATGGAGAAAATGGGAGCCAGACAATGTAGCGCAGCTCCGTAAAATAGATATTCTTATTTGAGGGACCGTTTATGAAGAAACCTATCACAAAGAGTGGCAGGTTTTATTTCTGTTCCAGACTTCTCCTGTTTTTTTTTTTTTTACTTTTACCCATGCATCAAGGACTTCATGTTGAGTTTATCCACATCACAGCAGCCTGTCATGTTTTAAAATATAATAAAAGAGATGATAATGAGCATCAATTAAAAGGGAAGACAAGCTGCTCTCCGACAGAACTATTTCTGTATTTCCTGTGATGAAATATTAGGACAGACACTCTGAGAGCTTCAAACATTGAGTGCTCTCAGTCAAAGTTAGGCTTAATCTAATGTAGCTTCCTGACAGCTAGAAACAGTACAGCTGAGGTCTTAATGGAACACAGAGCATGAGCAGAAGTCCCACTGATATGAGGCAGAGATTATCAGCTCCTCTCAGGGTATTTACGGTGGATATCTCACCAGGAAACAGGAATTAAAAGATCCATCCTAAGTCCGCTGTTTTCATTAAGAAGTCCAGTTGCCTGCAGATATAGCTGACTGACTTGAATAATGTATCTAAAAACTCAACCTCCGAGCGTATAGCCAACTATTTTGCCTTTAAAGGCTTCAAGTAGGAGAGCTTCATGTGTGACATAATTAAATTCCACCCGAGTTAATTCAAACTGTTTAATGATGCAGGGAGAACAATTTCTTTCGCTGTGCTAGCAGTGGGGTGGTCCATAGGGGCTGCGAGTGAGGAGAGGCATTAGAAGTTCACTTGTGATACAGAGAGGAGGATGACTAGATGAAGAGAGACTTGAAGGTTGTAGCATCCTTGGAAACACAGCATCCTGTTTGGTTGAATGTTTATTTAATAATGCAAAACTAGCTGTTTTTTCTGTTGTTTTCTCCACTTTTTTTAAACTTTTGACAGCTTAATTTGTCTTTGCCGCTGATAAAGAGTGTTGGGAGTTATTAGAAGTATGCATTTAAGGCCTTTTCTTACCTCTGCTTTGCTTTAGTGATTGGGTTAGCTTTTATCCTGACCAGCCTGCAGAGTTTCATTATTTCTCAAAGCTAATAACCTCTCCCACTGTGCTCACCCTGACATGATACACATTGTGTTTTTGTGTCTTTTTTCCAGGAGCCAGGGCCAGGCAGCAGGTAGAAGATGAGTCTGGCGCGTATAATCCCACTCCACCTATCCATCAACCTGGAGACTATTTCCAGCATCCCCCTACAGAATGTCAAAGCCTCGCTGAGCGGAAGATGAGTCCATCATCTCCTTTCTAAGACTTTCCCTCGAGTTTCCATCAAGAACACATAAACACATCATGTGCCATTATGTCCTATCGCCCTCCCTCCCTCACTCTCCTTTTTTTTTTAAGTCAATGGAAAGGAGGAGGGGGCAGCGGCAGTGAGTGAATGCAGTTGAGTGCGGTATGCAAAAGAGGAGCTGTGTTTGAAACCTACAGGATGTGACAGGATCCTTTCACTGTCGCTGACATCACTCTGCATGGGTTGTGATGGGGCGTGTACCAGAGATCTCCTGTCTAATAGGAAGTGAGACACTTAAAGAGATGACCCTGCCTCAGCCGCCATCACTGTCTCTCTACGAGTGGGAGAGAGAGGAAGCCTGGCTCTCCCATTACTCCCGCACTTGCTAATTAGCGTCTGTCAGTGGAGTAACTTGTACCTGTCAGTGTGTGCTGCTCTCCTATATTCACTAACTTGAGGGGATTGAAATTGAATGCCAGCTAAGCTCCAACAAACTGCAAATTGTGCATGGGATACACCCTGATTTCCTTCCTGACCTGACAGCCTTATATGTAAGAAATTGTTTTTAATGAACGAGGACTATCTCTGCTCTTTTTCTTTTTTTTTTTTACTCCTCGTGTGGGATGTTGTATCTCTTCATGCTCGGGGCTGTACAGGTTGTTTTATTGCTTTCTTTTTTAAGGTACCGGAACAAATCCCTGTGCCATATGTCCATGTATGAATGCCAAAGTCACATAACCCGGTGCCAATTTACATTAAAGAGACATGGAGAAACTGCCTGGTCATTAGTAATTATTGGTCCTATTCACTCAGCTGCTTTGTGTTCCTTCAGGCAGAACAAGGTGGAGTTTATTAGAGATGTTTCCTCACCCGCGGGATTCAGCTCATATTCATTCTTAGTTGATTTATCTGCGACTAGACTAGTCTACATAATGAGGAAAACATGAATTATGGTCGAGTAATACAAATATTTCATTTACATGCAGATCAACAGTGACATGTTGAATTGTTCCCAGTTCTATTTTAGGGCTAATCCCTCTCTGTTTGCAGATGCTCAGTCATCCTGAACGTTCCACTTGTTTTGAATAATGGATTTTCTCTGTGATTGTTTGTAGCTGTCATATGCCAAATAGCTACCTTGCATCAAGTCTGACTCCAATAGGTAGTGCAGAAATCCTTCCCACCTCCAACACACCCACACATTGCGTGCTCAGGAGCAAACACGCACACACATACTGTGTCCTCTCCTAAGCTGGATGAGACTGTTGATCAAACCTCAGGCTGTGCCAAAATGCGCAGATCTCTCCGTACAGTAGCCCTTGACCTTGCTGTGTGTCCTCATGGCCCAGACACCCGCCTGAAATTAAATTACAGATTAGTGGCTTCAGGCCCAAAGAGGGGTTTATTTGGTTGGCCCCTCTCTGAGAAGCGCTCATTCTCCCATTCAGGCACTGGAAAAAATGTCATGGGATTTAGGGGAGAAAATGCCAGTCTTGAAGACATTTTCTTTCTTCTGACTGCAAGCTTTGCAGCCAATGGTCCGCTAAAACGGAAATGTTTGCTAAGACTTCTAAATCTCACATTGGAGTAATGGACAGAGGGCCAGTGGAAATAGGTTTGGGGGCTGGTGCAAGGAAGCTAAATTAAAAAAATATATTAAAAAAAAAAAAACTCAGAAAAAAAAGTAAAGTCAAACAGAGGGAACTCTTATAAGCAGCACCTCATCAGCTCAATGTTTCTTTACACTCTGCTGAATGTACACCTTGAAAATTAAAAAAATCAGTCTTGTGAGACAAAAGAAGCAAAAGCCAAGCCCTCATTAACTTTAAAGGCTGTCAAGCCTTTCACAATCCCTAATTCCAAATTACACGCACTTCAAACTACACTCCAATTCTCATGACTGTCAATCGGCAATCAAAACAAAAAATAGACTCTCGAAAAAGAGGCAAAATCACCGAAAGTGAAGAATGACTAAAAATTACTCTTCAACAACGTGTACTCCAGAAAATTCACAAGTATAAAGGTTCAAGTAGATTAAAAAAAAGAGAGTGATTGGTGAAGATATCCACTTCACTTCAAATATTGTTACAGAACATAAAAGCAACCAGGCAGCTCTGTGAAATCAAGTCGGCCGAACAAGAAACTTTGACTGTGTAACTTTGTACTCACAAATTCAGCATTTACGTGCTCCTGCAGTAAACTTCTCCTGCCAAATACAACAGTTAAACGTTTACATACCAACTCACAATATGATACCTCACACATTTCCTATGATACAGCTCATGTAATGATACAACACATAGCTGAGAGCTGGAGAATACTTAAAACCCCTACATGGGAAAGAGCAGGATTGACAGCCATGATAAGACCCAGTGAGTGAATATAATGTTTTTTAATTTAAACACTAAATTTTGAGATCAACAACACCATGATGAGGTTGGTTCGGATGGCAATGTACTGTAGTATCAATACTTGGTCCCATCCCCTCTAAATAGTACATTGCAGACCCAGGCACAAGAAGATACATCTCTATCTATCAGAATGAACAGTTTGAAGTGTTCCCACAGCCGAGGCTCAGAAAACATCACACACAGGAAAAAAAACAACCCCCCACCCTTCTAAGATACAATGTGCTGACTCATGAGACAAAATCAACTTCAGTCTGCCAGTGAACAGGGTACATGTTTCTTTTAAGTCTTATTTGTAGTGTGCCTAATGTACAGCTGCAATGTTCACTGAATTTTAGAGATGCTGTGAGTGTATACAAAGCAAGTCAAGGCAACCTAACTGGAGAAAAACAATCACCTTTCCTAGGCAGCACAAATTCAGGTAAATATGTGTGTGGCGAGGATTGCAGATATTTGAAACTGTTATGCTCCACTTCATAAAAGTACAAACAGCCAAAAGTGAAATGTCTGGAGTTCCTGGTGAGTTTTGATTGCAAGTGCCACATACACACACACACACACACACACACAGGCATATTTCAAACACTTGATTTGGTGCATGTTGATATTTGACTCTCTTCTGTTGGCTGTTTGTGGCGAAAAAATGCAGACCAAACAGACACTCCAGCAGTCGATTTAATTCAAACAAAGGAGGCAGAATCTGCCATCAATGCAAACAGGATGAAACGCTATCATGAAGCCGATCGCTGCTCGTATGTCTCGAAAAGCTCTCCACACTCCTGCTTTGCAGAGCTCACATACTGTGCTGCACAAACACACAGCAGATTTATACGAGCACTTCTGCTGCTCTGCATTTGACTTGATTCGAACATGAGGTCCCAGTAAAGTAGTCATTCAAATGTAGCCAGATGTGCTCCTTAAATTTTAGTGCACACTAAATGCTTAGTGTGCTCATTTACTAAACATCCTCTTTTATTTTTCCCCTTTTGTTTAGCAGATACTTCAGAGTAAGCATGCACACTTCCACCATCTTTTCACTACCTCATGAATAATTTCTTCCCTCTCTAATAAAAGTAACCCCAGTCAAATAAAGCGGAGGCATTTGGCAGCTTCTTCTTTTCATACCTGGTGTGGCCTGCATTCTGCTCAGCTTTGGGACACCTGAGGTCAGCAGCTCTCAGTCCAAGCTGCACCAAAAGAGCTCTGCTGGTTTCATCCTAGCAGTCTAATCAGGGACTGATTCACACCAGGGACCACGAGTAAATGCAATTAAGTCGACGGTAGTAAAGAAAACCAGCTCTAGGACCAGGATTGAAGACCACTGTGTAATTGGTTTATTCATTGAATCTTTGGACACTCTATCACAAGTTATCAAGGTGCAGGGAATTAGCTTAGGCTGAGGCCACTATTCAGTTATTCTGGGTGTAAGTGTAGTATGTAAATACTTACTTCTAATAATTCTCCTCAGTGTGAGCATCCTTTCATCACTTTTACGATGTGCTGGGATTGTTCACCGCTTAAGAAGAAAACACTGCCAGCATTTTACGCCGTGCTTTATTTCTCCTGAGGAGGTTGGATTATGTATTTAGTATGCAGAGACTGTAGTAAACATAAAACGGGCGAATCAACTGAAACAGGGTTCGACTAAAATGGGGGGTGGGGATACTTGGCAATGGCTTCCAAATATCATACTGTTGAACGATGCTTGGAAACTGCAATCAGTCCACTGGTCCCCATTGAATCAGACTGGTTGAGAATAAGAGTCTCCATAGCGATTATACACTAGAATCAAAGAAATTCTTAGGACGGGTGCAGTCAATGTGAACTCTTGAGGTTTATTTATGTTAAATACTGTATATATTTTACATATGTACAGCATGGCATCACTCACAATCCTTAGCTCAGTCAGAGCTGAAGCAAGACGACGTTTGGTTGAGCTTACTACCTGTGGTTGTGTCAAATCCTTTACTCTGATGGATCAATACCTTATAACAATTAAAATTCATTCTCAGCCAGAGGTGGAGCTGAAATCCAAAACCATGACCGCTTATTTGACATGTCAGAGGCAACGCATATACGTTATTGAAATTTTAGGTTGTGTTTTAGCAGGTTGCTGGCAGCTTCTCTGAGTTCCACACTGGAATATTTTTTCATGTTGGTTCTTTGAATTATGACTTTGGTTTTGCCTTCCTTTTTTTTAATCTGTCAAGAATTAAGCTTAGAAAATTTAGCTGTTACGTCACTTTTTTAAGTTAAAAAATGAGAGACTGCGGTACTTTTTTTGGAATCTGTCGTATTAAAAGTAAAAGTAGTAGTTAGACGAGCTAACAAGTGCATCTCAAAGTAACTTCAACCATAAGCCGTATTGATAATAGTAACAATGTGAAAAGCTGTGACAGGTTCGCTGGGTTTCAAAGCATTATAATATAGAACAGGTAGTTATGCAAGGGTGCTGGACCCTGAAGCTTTACATCAGACCTGTTCACCCTATCAGGATTCTAATTTGCATAACCATCTATTCACTATACATCATCCTGTACTTGGCTAGGTGTAAAATCAGAAAACTTAGCATCAAAACAGCTGGCTAAGGTCTGTTCTACAAAAGGCTCTATCTAAAGGGCCCCAAATTTTTATGGTGATACGATCTTATTTTGGCAAGATCAATGCTCAGGGTTTCTCTTAAACAGACTAATAACTTTATTTCTCTAGTACCTTTAAAAATAAAGTGCTTTAACATACAGGAAAAGGCAAGAGAATGACAGAAAAACATCTTAACACAACAACAAGACAACTACAGCAAATGACCCAAACTTGTGTGACTTGTATGAGTCTGTAGCTAAGTTAAAGTGGCCCAGTAGTTAAGGACAAACCTATGTGGGACAGCATCCTTGATAAATGGGCCAATGTAAGTAGATCCTGCACTCAGTTTTTCATCAGGGTTTGTGAGTCATTCTAGTATCAGTGTGAGCACCAGAACAGATTCAGACAATTACATCTTTATTTCTCATAAATCTCTACAGTGGTGAGATTTCCATGTGAGAATAAAATACTGACCTTTCATAAAACCTCCTTTTTAGGCCAGAAAACTTGTAAGAACAGCGAGTAAGAAAACATTGTCCTGTCCTCAGAAAACCTTTGCAGGTGGTGATTTTTTTTAAAGCTGTAAGTTCATATAAATATATCTTCAAGGACAAATGTGTTGCTGGGTTGGATCAGAAATTCCTTGAGTATACCGTAATGCAAAAGTAAGAGGTAAAAAAAACAAACAAAGAAACTTGAAAGCAACTGAATTCATAAAACTTTCATCCTCATAGCAGCCGCCTTGCTTGGCATGAGATGTTGACATAAGAGTTTAAGAGAGCCGGAAAA